TTACAGCTATTAATATTTACTACATACTTTTATTTTTACAAGACGCTGTCACTTTCTCTCTGCTCATCTATAGTGATTGTTTGAAGAGACTTCCACGAACAAATATCTTTCAACAAATAAGGTACACTGAATGTCGAAAGCCAGAAAGATAGAATAGCAGCTGAAAGCTATTATGGAAATGACTGCTGTGGAGTTGAGAAAGGAAGCCGCAGCTAATGCCACTGAAATGAAGAACTCCATCGTAGTAAATACCACGTAGATAAAGAAAGAAATAGCCGCGAATCCGGAATCAACCACCACTTCTCTTTCCGGGAAGAAGGATTTCATTAAAGCCAGCGCCGAAATGAGCCTTAATACCATCTGGGGATGAAAAAAAAATTCATTGTTGCTATTAAAGGAGGAAAACTGTGAGCACTGTGGATGAGAAAGTAGCAGCTACAGAAGAAAAATATGAAAAATAATTAAAGAACGTTAATAAAGAAATCTTTAAATTTAACAAGCGATTCGAGAAAGAAGATTGGAGAAGAAAATTCTGCCACCGACTCAATCTATAAACGACATTCCAATTCAGCCTTAAATCAATGACGCTCTGGATCTTCCTGCTAACATCTTGGTTCAGTCTTCTCGTCTCATAACCAAGTTCTCGTTACACTGATAGAAAATTATTGTGGGATGTATACAAAACATAATATGAAATGGTTTCGATCGCAAAATACTTTGATTCCGTCTTCAAAGCATTGCCCTAGGCAGCTTCTTTACGAAGTGAAGCAACAGACATGCTGCAGACAGTTCTAGGCAAAACAAAAAAGATGAGACGCTAACGCTTTAGTTAATGCTTTAGAATAAGACACCAATATTTCGCCGACGCTATTGGGAATTCTAATATACAACATGCATTCCGAAAAATGAAAAAAATCAAGAAAGAAGATCTAAAAGGGAACTCACATGTATGCCGTGAAAGTGAAGTCTCCGCGGAAAGCCAGCAGAACAGACGTCCTATAAAGCGTGTCAACAGCGCAAAAGATTCAGTTCTGAGAGTGGAGCTGACGAAAAGACTAGAGGCAATACAAGCACTCAAGTCTCCAAATAGCCATAGTAATGGATTAAAGCTCTGAGGCAGTGGAGGGCATTTTCGAAGACAATATTCTGTGCCTGAAAGCCTAAATAAAATTCATATGAAAAAGGCCCAAATTAGGGAAAGCAGCTGTCGATTTTCTACATATTTCGTCACTTCGCAGTTGAAATCACGGATTGTATATCGAAGGCAAAATGAATGGATCTGCTGGATGACTGTGGACGCCAGTGCTAACGAAACGATTTTGCGAGGTGATGTATTCCGGAAACTGGACAGAAGCCTTTCTTATATGGCTCCAACCTTTATTCTTCAGTGAATGGAGAAAAAATATCACGGTACGTTTAAAGTGAATATACAAATCAAGCTTGCATTCTGTGTAAATAAGCACATAGTTCCTGAGGTTATATCTAAGCGTCAGACTGGACTTTTCAAAGACATGTGAATTTTATTTAGATGTCAAAATAAACCGTATCTATCAATATCCAGTTTTTTATTTTTTTTAGAAATCATTTCTTGTTTATTGTAGCATGGTATTAAGCACAAATATCAGCCAGTGATCAGTGTGAAAAAGAAGATAACAGGAAAATTTCATAAAATAAGTAAAAAGCGATAAAAACCAAATTGCATTATGGCATAGTACACGAAGGGTACTTGTCTAAGGAAATGGATGCATTTGCAGTAAACTTCCTAAAGAAAACAGGTTTGTATTCACGTTACACATGTTGAACAGCATGAAAATTCCAAGCAGCCAGCTCTTTCGCTGGGATTTGAACACGGGTCGCTCTGTTGACATTTTGTGATTTTACCACTCGGCTGTTTATGGGTCAAGATAACCAATTATAAACTATAATAATGTTATATAAGTAGACGCAACTGCAGTGGGGAGCAAGCTAAATTTATTTCAGTTTTTAACTCAGAGGGGGAAACTAATAATTTTCTACTATAAAACCTGATTTATAAGTGACGATTGTTTATCACTTAGAGAGATAATAACGGAAGCAACAGACTTCTAAATAAAATGGATACTAGAAATATAAATCCAAATGAGTTAGGAAATATGTATGGTAATATTTTATTGTCATGTTTATTAAAAGACATCATTATTTTTCATTAATCTTTAAAGTTTATAATTATTTAGCCAAGAAAGAATTTAATACTTCATAAAATTTGCATCTAATAGTGAAAAATGACCTAACATATTTCAAAAAATAAAAGAGTAAAAATATTACTGCAATTGTATGTAGCATAATAAATTTAATATGAATTTTCTTAAATCCGTAGAAAAACTATTTTAAGCATGCAATTTGTTAAAACGGCGTGATGAAAGCCATTATCAAAGAGAAAAAATATTTTATCTTGATTTGTTATAGAAAGTTAGACAAGAATTTAAACTTTTTATGTGCTTCTATTTTAATACTTTTAACCTTTTAACGTTAAGAAAGTAATGCAAAAGATAATACTTCCCAAGTCTGCCATTTGCGTTTATGACTTGCAAAACGATTCAGAATATTTTTTCCGCGTAATTTTTCATCCCGTGAAATTTCGCTTAAAGTATTTATGCTTCTCATTTAATAGCTGACAGAGTAGAAATTTGGCATTACCATGTTAGATACAGTAGCAGAAACTAGCACCTTTTTTTGCCACCATGTAAACTAAAACTCTAGAAATAGATCAAAAGTAGAATCTTATGAAGTTGTTCTTGCAAGCATATAATTTGGATTAACGAGAAATTTTCCAGTTTTGATTCTCAGATGTTTAACAATAATACCAGCAAGAAGTACGAAACGAGAAAAGCATTTATTCTCAACCAAAAAAAAAAAATTAGTTCTCTGAGATTCTGGACCAGCTACTTCATCTTAATCGACAAAACTTCGACTTCTCATATGAGCGATAACTCAGAGCTTTCGGAACCGTATTTGTTCCAAAGAACAGAAACTAATTTCGTGCAGATACTTTTTTTTTTTCTTTTTCTTTCCGTCATCGGCAGAACAGCTGATCCACTAGGTTAGATGCTTATCCCATAAAATATAACTAGAGTTTAGTGCAATGTACTCTGGGACCTGATTATATAAAGTTTACTTTCCAGAAAATGGCAAATAGCACCTGTAGATAATATTGGGAAGAGAAGCTCTAAAAAATTGAATGATGTTTGACGTCACCGAATCAAAAGTCAATTAATATTTATGGGTATTACTATAGTCTGTTACTTTAAAATACGAAGTTCAGGATTACTTTCCGCCACCCAGTTTGTCCCATAACCATGAAAACAACAGTCGCAGAAAAAAGTCGACCGCATTTCCATTTTCGCCTAGAGCATTTCGCTTCACGAAAAGTGTACGAACGAATGCTGACTCGAACTGCAGTCTCAGGTGAAATGAAGAGAAAAATGAGTAACTATCGTAAACGACTTTGAAGAGCTTATTTTAAAGTAACAGTCTATATCGCCATAAATGCTTAATGCGACAATCGAGAAAAGAAGGCTGCGTATAAGATATGAAATGTGGCGCAATAAGAGTTTCTTCACAAGTATTTGTTGTCAAGTTCAAATAATCTGAAACATTTTAAGGTATCAACTTAATCACAGTAGATATCTTTCACGATACATAATCAGACTGTATGATTATTTTCCATTAGAAAAAATCTTCATTTTTTAAGACATCGTCATAGTTAATGTTGAAAGAATATTCTGGTATAATCATGAAACGAAATGCCAAACTGGCGAGCGTAGACCATAAAATTCTCCGACAGAAAAAAAAAATCTGCCAGTCGAATTCAAAAATAAAGTACATAAAACTCTTTTATTGGATTTTATTAGACGCTCTGGAAATTTTTATGCAAGAGACTGTGTCTTATGGTGCCTGCAATGAAAAATGCAGCTAGTTACCTTCTCCCACATACACAATACTGGCCTTTGTCGCAAGGCAGTTATCATTTGAGACTTTGAAATCCAAAAGCACACTTGTCTTTTGCTATTCTCTGTTTATTTGCCATGCTCAACTCCATATAAGTGGGCATTTCGCATTTCTCAAAACCAGCGCAACGCTTAAATGATGCTATTTCAAGTTATTTATCCACCATTCGCAAAGCTGCTTGGAGGATTTTAAACTGAACTTCTTTTAATTGTTTGTCAGCAGCCGTTTTATGATCTGCTTAATTGCGGTGCAAAACAGTATATAAATTTCACAGAGAATTAATTCCGATAAATTAGTGTCGGTGTTCATTAAAACAACTCTTTCTTCAATGAAAGAAAATAGCATCAGTTTCATTTACAAACTGCAACACTGTATATTATAATTCAATATTCAACAATATAATGCTGTTTATTATACTAGTATATAGCGCTATATGTATTTAAGAAATTCTAGCGAAAAGAACTTCGGAGAAACTCCAGTCATTGAGCTTTAAAATGTAATTGGATCCATGTCTAATAAAATTTAAGCTTTAATTCTAAAATTAATTTTATTTAACATTAAGACATCTTAGAAAAACATGAAACGGAAATTAGAAATTCGCTCTTTTTATCATCAGATGGCGTTTTTCTTCTGTTTCCATTGTTACTCAATTCTATAAAAAAAATTAAAATTTTGTAATCATCCATTATAAATTATATAAAAATATTCAGTTTAAAAGAAGTTCTTTGGTACCCCTGACTTTCTTACGAAATTAAGTTGACTTCACATTCTGGGGACTCAGTTTATTCCAATATTATTTTAGAGCAAATTGAATAGTAGGTAATAAAATGTTCTCTATGCATTAAAAAAATTTGCTAATATGAGTAATTATTTGAAAACTAGGCTCACTTAAATTATTTACTTAAATTATAAGTTTATTATTCGAATAAAATTGAAAAATTCCATTTTTCTTGTTTATTCTATAAAGAAACTCTGTCTCGAAATAACTCAAAAAGTTATTTTATCTCCTACAGAATGTGATCCTGCACTCTGTTCACCAGTTGTATGGCCTGAAGATCTCGAGGAAGGCCAAACTGCCGAAATGGTTAACGATTCGTGTTGTCCAAGAGTAGAAGTAACCTGCCACACTTTATCTTGTCCCGAGAAGCCAGAATGTGAGGCACGTTTAGAGCGCATTGAAACAGCAGGAGAATGTTGCACAACGTACAAATGCAGTAAGTTATTCTTTCCTAGATATCTTTCATTCTACAGCAAGATCATTGATAAGAATTTTAGCTTCTATAAAACTGGTGAAAATCTGAGACAATTAATAATCATAATAATGTTTCTTTATATTTACGCTTATTTTTACTAACTCTCATTGGGATTAAAACTGAGTATGAGTGATGCGTACATATGCAGTGGCAACTCGGTATACGTCATTCCAGATCCTTGAACATATAACAAACTGGAAGTGTAACACCCGAACTTTTCCAGCAACAAATAAACGGAAAATAATTAATCCGTTCTTATGAAAAATTCTATTGTTATTATTATAACATTGTTTAACACTACACATAAAAGTAATTAGTGAAATAGATCCGGCACATCAAAGAGCACTGCACATGATACTGTACATAAATGTTTTTTCTGCTATCCAGATCAAAAACAATTTTCCAACATGTTCTATTTAATCCCCCTCTTGCAATGGTAGCCAATCACAATCGAAGACATTATAGTATGCGTCACATGGATGCAACAGCCAGGTCCAGGATGCGCATGCCGGCAATCTTCATACGTTTTAACTATCTCTTTTTCACCTCCATGCTGATCCTTACAACGTTTTCGGTGCTTGATTCTTCTCATCACTTTCCTAAAACTCACTGTTAATGAATTTGCAAAAAATAATACGCGAAACACAAAACTACTTGAAAGTTTAAAGTTATGGCGCTAGTTGTTTACTGAATGATAGCAAGAGGTGCATTGACGCTAATGGCAGTCCTAGCAGTGTCTTCGAAAGACATAAATAAGTATACATCGACCATTCGTGACTCATCGATCTCGAGTCATATTTCAAACAAATCTCCTATGCCAGCAAAAATTTTCGCGTCTCAACAGGATGTATACCTAAGTTGGAAGTATTTCAAAGCAGACGTATATCGAGGTATCACTGTATTTGCATTTATTTCTTTCTACGGGTATGTAAAAAACTCACTAAAAACTCTTGTTAATTGTTATTATACATTTGCCCTGTCTCGGATAGTGTTCATATTTAAAATTTCAATTTTTTATCTCTCATGTATATAGCAGTCCAACAGCTATTTATGTGAGGAAGTACATTAACTCTCTGTATAAAATAAACAGAAAGTATCTCAGTGTATCGGGTTCGAATCCCGGAAAAGGCACGGATGATTGTACGTGTATAGTGTGTGTGCGGGGAGAGGGCATTCAAAATACATGGCTAGTTGATAGTCCGCTCGAGAAGTGGTAGTAGAGAGGAAAGAGGTGGAAGACTCTCGGACTGCCATGCGGGGTGTTCTCACTCAAAACTGGGGCGGAACTCCTCACTTAGTGCTGCTGGACTATACCTGCATGTCCAATGGTGAAATTCTGAAGTCCCCCTCACTCCTACATATACCTACTCAGATGGATTCTGCGCAGGGCTTGGCCAACGTAACGGCAAATTTGGTGAGCTCTTGTTTCTAAGATTTATTTTCAGTGCTTGCATAGTAATAATGGTTTATTTTATATGCATTGTAGATTTTAAACGTTTCTCTATGTTTGGGTGCAGTTTTTTACCGATTTGCACGCATTAATGACTGTTATAGAATGTCTTGAAAGTATATGTGTATTAAAACTAACAAAGATGCCGCCTTTTTGCAAAAAAAAATCAAAAGTTTCAGCCTTAAGTGGATTGCTGCACCATAGTATGAAGTCTTTCTGTCCAGTGGTTAAGAACTGTTCTTTACAGCTGTTAATGCTCTACCTACGTTTTTAGCTTTGAGATTTGCATTCACAAATCGTGTTACAAAGGAGTTTTTCTGTATAAACTGTATTTTAGGATGTAGTACTCATCAAAGGCTACATTTTGGTAGATATACATCTATGCCTTCTCCGAGATTCGAACCCAAGTCCATCAATACGATAGTCAGCATCACTATACAGGCTGAGCGGCACTATACTAACCACTATACACTATACTAACCACTATACAGGCTGAGCGGCTGTCACCAATAAAACGGGTAAACAGCAATGAAACGAATCAATTACATTTTGCCCATTGCCTTCGACTCTCACTGGTGGCCCGAGATACTCTAGGCACTCAGGAACAGCCATCCTTTTGATGACTAGAGCTTAAAACCATCCTTTTGATGACTAAAGAATTTCTGTACAACTGTAAGAGTGTGGTTCCAAAATAGTCTGAAGGAACCAGTCCAGGGGATATCTGCAGGAATCTTGCATGAGTGCAAAGCTATAGAACATTACATTCAACAAAATCGTCAAGTTCAACTGATCTCTTAATTGCAAGGTTTTGCCTATGCAGAAAGCGTAGCTTTCGTGAAAAGTAAAAACACAATAAAAGCACTAAAGTATAATGCTAACGAAACGTTTAATATTTCAAAACCAATGTCAAAAAATGAAGCTAAAATTTGCACCCTTGAAATATACCTCCTGCCACAAAAAACGTGCTTCTAAAAATTGATAATTATAGAATAAGAAATGTAAAAGCATCAAATATCTTGGTATCACAACGGCCCACAAACTGACTTGTATTTCACACTTCAAATTCCTAACAAATACACTAGCTACAACCTTACTTGCTGCCAGGTTTGGCAGGTTTGAAATGCGGCCTAGTCCCCCCATAAGGAAGGTACTAAATTAAATGGTCATCTTCAAAATGATTACATATGAAATGCGAATATCAACACATCCGATGACTGTCAGTAAAATAAGAACACTTAGAGCGATACAAAGACTTTTCTTACTGCCAGTCATTACGGCCTAGAGAAGGACATCAAATTTTGCCATAAATATTCTTACGGGAGTAATTTCCTTCAACATTATGGTAAAAATTTAAGCAGAAAGTACTAAAATTCTGCAACTAAAACAAAGTATGGAATTGAGAGGGCAATCCTTAATCCCAAGTCATTTCTAACAAAAACCATTTCTCCACCAAAAACATCCGGCATTCATTGCAAACCGAAATACAATTTAACATCCATCCAAGAAGAATCCTGAAACAATACCCAGTAGCATTTACAGATGGGTCACAAATTCATAGTAAGATGGGAGCAGCGGCTTTGATGTAAAGTATCTCTATTAAATTCTATTAAATCGCAGAGGCACCTTTCAAAAATAACTGCGTTTTTCAATCAGAATTATTCGCGATACAAGCAACAGTCTTCTCTGCAATAGAATTACATTTGAAGAACAGAAGTATTCACCAACTGCCAAGCTGTACTACTTGCTATCAAAATTCCAGTGAAATCTTCGCCAGTAGCACAGGACATTAATAAAATCTCAACCCAAAATTAAATCAATCCTAGATAAGAGGGCACTCCGAGCACTGAGGAAATTAGAAGGCGGATGAACTTACAAAGCAAGCAGCTCAAACGCAAATACGTCCATTTGTCAGCATCTCTTGACCACGCTCTCAGCTAAAGTACAAAACTGAAGAAAATAGCACTGAAGAGCTGGCAGCAAGAATAGGATTCCGGAACCAGAAGGAAAGAGAATACGCGATTTGTTCTAAAATATTTCAAAGAAACTAACAAGTTCCAGCCCATTTCTTACCCAGTTTGTAACAAGTCCTAGCTCCTTCCCCACATATTTCTTCTTTTAACATTTGTAAATGTGGGGAAAGGGGAGCACTACATTTTTCAATGTCCAACGGCCAAGGAATTTCATCTGAAATATCCTCGGATTATTGCCTGGGTATGTAAAAGATTTATCATTAAAATTATATGCTTAATCAACAGTATCGTGAACAAACTAGCAAATGAAAGCAGGGACTTGCGTCAAGGAACATAATAGAAGGTTAAATTGCTATTGCTGATAGCATCTTTGAACTGCTGCAATAATTCTTAAATGAAATGTGGTTTTAGGACTATATTTTATTTTATTTATTATTAATTTCATTAAGATCATATTAGTTTGTAAGATTTATCTTAATTTTTCTATCAGTTAATTTTGAGTTAAAGTTGCTTTCCTATCTTTCCTTAATTTCACCTTATAACTTCCGTCCAGAACGTATTTTCAGAATCGCGTTTAATGAGGAGAAAGAGGATTTAACTGTAAATTTCTACTGACTTCGTTAGAGAGCCTGAGAATCTGCTCAGTGAGCGTTAGCCTTTTTGGCGATACTGTCTCACAAGCTATTATTACTCTCAGCCGTATACTATAGGCCCTTGATAGCTTCACTGTTAGTTAGCATTAAGGGGCCAACTCTGTTAGAATCTCGATAGCTTCGGCTATATCTTTTTAGATAAGTTAATTAAGTTTTGTAGATTGTTATTCCTGAGATCAAGCCCAAATGGAGGCTTCATTGTAACTCCAAGAAGGAGTCGTCTGTTAACTTTATTTTGAATAATAAAAGGTAATTAACCCTTCGTACGTTTACGTTTCTATCTCTCTGAACTAAGCGATTATTCGCTTATCAGTTCTCAAAGTTCCAGACACATTGCAGTACATTCAAAGTTTGGAATCTTACAAATTATTGAAATTTATTTGCATTACTATAGTATTTAGAACTATAATTGGGGTGAATTTACTAGTATATTGTTTTAGAACTAAATTTATGCATTACTGTACAAATAAGAAGAAATTAATTTAATCAATGTATTAAATAATATTGTACCGGGGTAATAATGTAAGTGTAAATAATTTAACCTCTTTTTGAACCAAATAAATACTGGAGCTCGTCGTTCCTGAGGTGGTTACTGGAGGTTGGACGTAGCAGCTCTGCTAGCCGTTGTGGACATGCACATGGTTTTTATACCAACAGTGAGAAACAATTAAAACCCTTTTGGCTCACACACATGAGGTGCTCTCGATCCTGAATATTAAAGATCTACGGATTTGTCCTATATAAGCTAAATCCCATTCACAAAGAATTTTATGAATACCCCATGAAAAAAGGTTCGATGTTTCGTTTGAAAATTCTATGCTATAAATGCTATAAATGAATGCTATAAATGCCTAATGAATCAAGGTCTGTTATTTTTCGAAAGCCAAAGTTATTTCTGGCACTAATTCTCCTTTCAATTTCGATTTCCTTGAATTTTTTGGAAATCATTTTGGGTAATGTATGAAGTAGCTTCCTTATTTTTTCTTAGCGGAGACATAAAAAAACTTTTCCGTACCTCACCTCTATTTTTCGTTTGACCTCATATTCAAATTTGCGCGTGAAACATCACAACTTAAGCTATTTTTATCATAACAACAATGCTTTGAGCAATATTAGACTAGTTCCAAAGAAAGTGCATTCAGAGATATTTCTACATTTTATTTCTGTTAATTTTTTCATTGAATTGCTTTTTGTTTATTTTTAAATTGCACAAAGTTACTTTTCTCAAGCATTAGTCCTTGGTATGTAAATATCCTTTGCATTCAATCCTTCGCATGCACAGAGCGTTTACAATGTTTTATGGCCGAGAAATCCAATTTTTGTTCAGTCAATATTTGTTCTAGTGAAGTCAAAGAAGGAACACCGAAAAGTAAATAAAATTTCATCACTCCTCTCAACGACTTCATAGCAATGAAATGTGTAAAATTTCCTAATATTCTCCTTCATCGCCTAGGTTTAGTATGTGAGACTACTTTCAGGTCTCTAAAGTGATATTTCACCTTAAAAAGCACCATTCTGAGGGCATTTCAAGCATTCGGAGGATGAAAAAAAAAGGGAGTAAAAAGCACTCTAATACTTGACTCGAATAAAGTGATTCGAAAGTTTTCCATGGACATGTTAAGACATGTACGGAAGTAACTAGAATGGCTGGAAGGAAAAGCTGTGATCAACGTCATTCCCTTCAAATCTGTTTTTATGCTTTCACTTCTAAACTTTTGTAGACACACTAAATTAACTTAAAACACGGGTTCTCAGGCAGAAGGTTTTGTTGTTTTATTTAAAAAACACACTAAAAATAAAAGTAAATATAACATTTTTCTGAAGTATAAAAATTAATATATTTGACATTATTTCGTATTAATCTTTAGAAAAATAATTTATGCTGCGCTAAGTATAATAAAATTCCTAAGTTCTTTTTCTTAGATTTAATATTATATATTCCTATTTTCTCTTCTGTATTTCTATAAATTTGCGGAGATTATTAAGATTACTTAGATTTTTCAGATCGTTAATGTTTATTTCATGCTTTGGTAATAGTAAATAACAAACTCAAAATTACTGTAATTTTTTCCTTTTTACTTTAACAATAATTTGAATCATCAAAACATAATTACGTTAGGTGTTTCTATGTTTACACGAGACGTTCTGTTCCATGTTAGAATGGAAATATTCACGATCTTCCACCTTTGAAAATGACATCATATTTAGCGGATAAATAATATTTAAAATGGAATTTTACGAATCCAAAATCTCGATTTCAAATCGGTAAGTCTTCTGAGATTTATCCGGACTCAATGCAGAATTTAAGACTTAACAAAGAAAAATTGACAAAATAATTGAATGCTCCTCAGAGATATACGTTTCTTGATTTTAGATCAAATACTTGTAAAGCATAATGTCCTTTTAAAATCGCGTTTTTCTAAAAGCAGAAACAATAGTTTTTCGATTTTGAAGCCCCATATATGATGTAACCTTCTTCGTATGTATTTAGTTCTCAGGAAAACGACATTGAGCTTTAATCATAATATAATAAAAATAATAAAATTGGATTCTTTATTATTACTAATATGAAAGATATAAAAACATGCCTTGTATTGTTCATAAGCAGGAATAATATTAAATTGAGTTGCTCTAGGATAACTGCTCAGATCGTTAGCGGTGTAACAAAAATTCATGAGAAGCTGTGGGTAGAAATAATGATTTCCCAAACAAAACTACACATTCGAAAGGACTTGATTTTTACGAAAGGTGAGGAAACTGCTTCGTGTTCCTCTGTCAGAAATGTTGTGAGAAATTCAGTCGAACAGAAGCAGAGCTTATCTGAATTAAAGAATTTAATGGCAAGTGCAGAATTAAATGTTAATTAAATTCAGTCTTCAAGTGGTTTAACAGAAAATTTTTAAAAAATCTCTGTCTTCATATAGTGAATTTGGTCGTACGAATGTGATACAACACCGGATCGACAATGAAAGCCATTCGCTTATTAAGCACCATCCTCGGTGTATCCCTTTGGTAAAACAAGAGGAAGTGACAATACAGTGGCAATATTTAGTCTTCGTTTAGTCCTTGGGCATCACTTTTCGTCTTAGTCCGGAAAATGCCTCCGTGGTAGTAGTGGTACAACACCAAAGAACCTCCAGGGAATCTCACTTTTAAATCATCAGCAACAGGCTGATTAAGTGTCTTAAATGATTCAAACTTATTTTTTAGACTGCTGCGTTTTGCCTCCGTTTGTTGAATTTGATGTAAGATGCGATGCGAAACACAGTCCATACCTGGTTTTTCAAGAAGTTTATTGCTGTCGATACGTATCTTTTCACCGAAGTCCATTGACTTATTAGGAATCTCACACCGTTGATATAATCAAGACTTGATCGAACTTCCTTTTGGCAAGTAGATTTTTTAGATTCTCGTCTATGTACATTGAACCCATATCCAAATCCCTACAAGGAGACGGCTCCACGCAATTTTGTGTAGACTACAGATGTCTAAATGCCATTACAAGGAAAGACAGTAGTTACCTGTACTCCTGTTTTATTATTATTAATAAAAAAATTGCCACTTTCTTCCTGCTCGTATGTGCAGGTAAGGGAGCTGATGTTTTCTGTGCAAAAACTGGATAGTGAGTTTTCTGTAAATAAAGAAAAATTAGGGTCCTACAATACATTTTTACTGTTATTATAACGATGCCTGTCCATCTGTGGGTCTGACTGATGTATTAAACTTCCAAATTTTTTTATTTTCTGTATTTAAGCTTTCTACATTTATATAAAAGCAGGTGATTATTTTGGAATAAAACTTGACAAACGAAAGTAGTGCTTTATTTGTAATCCATAACAGTTTTTAATGGACACCGGAAGCGGTATTTTAATTGAAGTATAACAGTTGAGTTATCGACATAATGTATTTACCATTTATTACATTTATAAACTTTAATATATTGTTGCAGTTGAGCGACCTTTTTTTGCTTATGCCTTATTATCGCAGTAATTTGCTTGAAGATCAAAACGAATCTAAATTTGTTGATACTAAAGAAATGGCACAGAAGAAAATTAAATAATATTTTTTCAAAGCATTTTTAAATATATTATGAACGCTTAATTTTCTTTTTTTAATTTTTTTAATTAAATTATATATTATTCAACTAACTAATAAAACACAGGAGTACATATTTGATTATACTGGTTCAACTTTAGCAAAGTGTATTTGTACACATGGCCTGATAAAATGTAATAAAAAAATTTTTCGTGTTAGAGGCCTCTCAGTTTATTGGAAGGTTTTCTTTACAAATGATTAACTAGAAGTGATGCTTTACTTAAAGCGGGTTGCTATTTAAAACATGAAACTGGTGGAAGGATACGTGCTGGCCACATCAGACTAATATTTTTAACCAAGGTTTACTGAACATGTCAAAGTACGAAGACTTCCCAAAATACTATACCTGGAAGTGAATCTGACGCTACTTTAACGACCGCAATCAAAATTTGCTGATATCTCCATCTTTAAAGCTTATTAGAACTCTAAAATAATTATTTTGCGATCAGTGAGATTACGCATTACTTGTTTCGTATCCAATGTATAAGGATAATTATCCTGAATATCGAGAAGTATGACTTGTAAGCTCTAATAAGCCGTCATTAATTAGTATAATATCCTTATTAAGTCATATGAGCATCTAGTTGAGTTCTGATTCTGCATAATGCAAACGTGATTCTAATTTTGGGGGGCATACAGAGGTCGTAATATTTTGGCCAAATTAAAATGGCTGCCGAAATTAACCAAAGTTTGACTTTATATAAGAAACGCGTTCGCGCGTAAAGCGTTAATCAATCAGGAATGAGTTCAGAGGTGGCATTTGCCGGATGGCCGGATGGCATGAGTTGACTTAACTTCAACTTTTTGACGCTTGACGCGTCAGTTTCAGGCATCTCATTTCAAAAGTCCAATTTATACCATGGTTTTTAAATGATTGCACTTTAAAAAATTCTTCTTGTTGGGAAAAAAAAAGGTCAAATGGACTAATCTTAATAAATATTTCAGATAATAATAAAAAAAATGCGTATGCTAATAGAATAAATAGCTTTATAAATTATTTAAAGAAAAATTCTCAAGTTTATTTTTATAAGAAAGAGATCAATTTAGTATTTTCCAAACTACAATTATTTATTCAAATGAACAAAGTTAAAAAAGAACCTTTAAAAGAGGTTCATGTTAAAGTATTTCCTAGTTTTGTCTTCAACATCAATGTATGCAGTGAACTTCTCAAGTACATTTTTTTATGCAATGAACTTTCTAAGTACAAGTACACTTTCCCCCCGAAATATTAAGAGAGAATAAGAAGAATTTTGTTTGAATAATTAAGAAGAATTTTGTTTTTATTTGAAAGAACGTACAAAAGAAAGTTGAAAAAAATTCTTATTTGCATATGTATGCTTTAATTTAACTCATATTAGCAAACGTATTGCTATTTTCAGGGTACGCCATAAATTTGGACACTTCAGAAAGTATAAAAAAGTTAAATTCAGGATTTCTCGTAAAATTTTGCTTTAAAAAAAGAAGATGCTTAAATATTCCTTCTCTATTTTTCAGAGCCTCCAAAAGACGTTTGCGTGTATACATACAACTATGAAATTATTGATGGTCTCCAATCTCCCGTGGATCCCGCAAATGCAATTACTCAAGTATATAAGGTAAGAAAAACCGATGTATCCAGGTATTTAAAGAATTCACTAAACCTATTAGACTATAATACCATTTATAAATACCCCTATTTATTCGCATATTTCTTGCTCGCGCATACTTCCCCCTCTCGGATTTTCAGTGTGTTATTTAGAAACTTCTGATTTATGGTAGAAATGCAAAATGTATTCACAAATATGAAAGTATTTCGTATAAGTAAAAGGAACATCATTGAAAATGATAAGTCGTCTGAAATACATGATGTAATAGTGTTATGTGTCGCTCTGTGTGCTTTTTAATACGCTATATTTATCATTTAACACTTTACGTCGTAGCACAGTGAGCTGAATTTCATTCTGCAGTTGTAAAAAGTCGCAGGAAAAACCAGTGTGAAAATTTTTGTCTTCCGCTTCAAACGCATTAGTTTCCCTCCCTGACACTGAGAAGTAGGGAGTCTAGTGTTAAACCTCAACGCTGCGATGTCCACACAAAATAACGTCTAGAGCATTGTAAAGCATCCGAAGAAGAGAGTGACAGTTTTGTTCTTCAATAGAATTACCTGAAGGAGAAAATTCCTGTGGTTATTTCTTTTGTATCGCTGAAGCTGAGTTCACACATCAATGCGGTCACGCGTTCGCGCGTAAAGCGTTAATCAATCAGGAATGAGTTCAGAGGTGGCATTTGCCGGATGGCCGGATGGCATGAGTTGACTTAACTTCAACTTTTTGACGCTTGACGCGTCAGTTTCAGGCATCTCATTTCAAAAGTCCAATTTATACCATGGTTTTTAAATGATTGCACTTTAAAAAATTCTTCTTGTTGGGAAAAAAAAAGGTCAAATGGACTAATCTTAATAAATATTTCAGATAATAATAAAAAAAATGCGTATGCTAATAGAATAAATAGCTTTATAAATTATTTAAAGAAAAATTCTCAAGTTTATTAGCAGTAATAAACCTTAATAATCAACCATAAATGGTATATGGTTGATAATTTTTACAGAAGCAATAAATCACATTTATTTTACAGTCTGTTTACAGTTTACAGTCTGTTTTACAGTGATGTCTTGTTCATCCCCAGATGACTCGGGTGAATCAGAGAGAGGATTAAGACGTCTCTTCAGAAAAATTATACTCTGCGTAATTTTCCCTTCCAGGTTTTCAAGCAGTCAGACTAGTAGGGAAAGGCAATATAAGAGTAAATGCGATATGCCTTGAATTTTAAATAAAAGTATTTAAAAAGTTCTGGAAATGTGTGCTTATCGTAATCCTAGAAAAACACATCTTTTGTTTTTTGTCAGTTTAACGCATTTATCTTCCGCAAACGAAATTATCCTTCCGATTTCCGGTATAAATGTTTGAATATCTCTCCGTCGCATTAAAGTAGAATTTCGTTTTCTGGAAGGGAAAGGTACTATAGTTTTACCGCTGAAATAGTCTTGAAATTTTCAGGTGTTATCTGCAAATAAAAAACCGATGCAAACTGTGGCAGTTCGTATCGGATGCGAGCCCAGAACAGAATAGACAAAGAAGCGCGTTCATCCGCAGTATAGGAACCCAAGTACTGGCAAATATAATTTATCTTTGAATTACTATGCTTTTGTGTGCACATTCCTGGGTGGTAGCAGGAGGTACAGCAGCTTGAGTAATATGATACACAGCATGAGAATACCGGACTCGTGCAATGGCAGGTCGTTGTGCGGGAGATTCTTTACCCTGTCGAAATAATAAAAATCCTTCTCAGGAATTGCTCGAAAATTGAAGAAAAAACAAACTATCACAGGTTTTGAGACAAATAATGCAATGAAATACAAAATGGCACGAATTCGTTAATACATGTAGATACATCAGATCCCAAGAGGTGCAGAATATCTGATGCGCAAATCACAAATGGTATTTAAAGAAGTGGGCCAAAGAAGCAGTTATCCTTATTTAAATCTGGAATATATATCCTTCCCAACCTCAAACGCCTCTTCCATTCCGGACATAAACTTTACTGTGTATATCATATGTAACGCACGGTGAAGTTGTAGAAACATTAGGTATTTTTTTAAAAGCAGGAGTCGTGAAAAATCAGCAACACCTTCGCCGGGAATCGAACCACGGACCTCTAGAATATGCACCCAGCGTGCTGACCGCTACACTACAAAGGCATGCTAAGAAGGTGGGAGGAACACCTTATTACGAACTTTATAAATCTTGCTTGACATAAACCATTTTTAGTGCATCTTTTAGACTGTAATAGTGATTGTTGCCAGACATTAACTATCTTCAATATGTCTTCTAATTTGCAATAGCGATTGTTACTAGACTATCTTTGGTATCTTTCAGACTGTTGTAGTAGTATATTTGTTCTTCATATTGCAACAGAGTGAGGGAGAATGCTCATTTATTTATTGATAATGTTCTGATGCTTCACAATCACAAGCAGATTTCTAATAAAGAGCAGAAATGAAACAGTTTTATTGCTATCTATTAAACAGTATTCTACCTGAAAATAATCAACAGTTTTAAGAACGATAATATTATGTTTGCAAAGAATTTACTATGTTACAAACCGTATTTTTTTTTTACTTCAAAGATTTGAAAAGAATGTGACGTTAAAAAAGATATATCTAAAAAAACAGCTCAAAATCTATAGAATTATTATTTTAAACATACGAGGAATCAAAATTCATACAAATGATTATTTTGTAACAAAGCACATAATACTACGTGGATCGGATAATTCTGAAAGGTTTTCAATTTCAACCCCCATTAGCCCATTTATGCCGGAGGTTTAAATTTTTGAAAAATATGCATCAAGTTAATATATGTTAGCTAAAAAAATATTGGAAACAAAGATTTAAAGATCAAAAATTAATTTCTCAACCCATTTTATAGTTATATGGTGCTCCAAATATGGAACGCTAGGTAAATCCATTGCTGCATTATGCATATTATATGAGACTCTTGAATTTATCTTAGAAAGTGGCTTTTAATGACTAAACTCTTCACATATTTAAACTTCATACATAAGTACACACAATATCACATTATTCGGTGTGATATTCATCTGAACACTTAACATGTAAAGCAATATCACATTTTTCACACCGAAAAGTGGTGTTCTTGTGATATTGGGAACAGTGTGTTTGTTCTGACTGTTTTACTATTAAATGATCCATTTCATCATAGCGTCAATCAATATTGCGTTTTGCATAAGTCTTCCTTTTTGTTCTGGTTTTGCAGTATGACCATGAGTCTCCAGTTAATGGCATGCCGCTCGTCGACGAAATTCAAAAAAAAAAAAAAAAAAAAAATCATCGACTTCTTTTCATATGTTTTATTAAGTTGCGAAGCATTTTGTAAGACCAGTTCAAAACAGAACAAAAGCGGGTTTGAGTACCACTTCTTGCGACGGATTTATGCTCGGTACTTATCAATGTTTGCATCAGCTCTGTTCACGCCTCCCATAAATTGATTATAAACTTTGTTCAGATTTGGCTGCTGAATTTGGATTTTCTTTTTCTGTTTCTGAGAATAACGACTGAGATGGCACACAGGATTCACACCAACTCCAGATGATGCATCTGTCACAATACTGTTGTTATGCCATCTGCAAATAATGATGCCTTTGCCATCAGTTAGATAACCAAATTTGCCTCTTTGAGAGCACCGTCTGATTCCAGCTGGCATTAGTCAACACGATTTTTTCGCACTGTACCTGATGACCCATTGAAGTGAGCTTGTCGAGCAGTGAAATACTGTTGAAAATGTTATCAAGTACAAAATGATATGTGTCAAGATATCAAGTCAAGATTTATACGGTTACTTTGAGTTCAGTGATTTCACCATCAAGAAAAAGTTCAAGAATCTCTGTAGGAGTTTTCACTATTGTGAAGAAAACATTTGTTACTTGTGTAACTCTTCCCTTTCTATGCTGTGTATTTAGACCAGCTTTTTTTCACTTACGAATCTTTGAAAATTTTTTTCCAGTTGCTACACAGTAGATGTGGACGCAGTTTCATACTCAGAAGAATCATCTTCAGGTATGAATAAAGGTCATCTGATTCAGAATCAGCATTAGAACCCTCTCGAATAAGATAAGCAGGTGCACGCATCAAAGAACCTCTCAGATTATTTATTGTTCCTCCTTTATCTCCGGAGTCCTCGTCCGAAACGGGTGATGTAGAATTTTCAAGTGGTTGTATGGTTATGGCATTTGCCACAATGTTATCATCTGTCTCTAAAAAGTCAGTTATTTCATGCAAACTTTGATTTTTAGGCATTTTGAAGTTTGTAAAATGCTTTCAACAAAATAACGAGAATGGGAAAATATTAATCCTGACGGTAATGGTTTTTCCTAGTGTTCCAAAAATGGAACACAAATAATTTCAACCCTGTAACTAACATAAGAAAAGGAGCATCTGAATTTTCCTGTTGCAGCATAGTAACATAACATCTTGAGAATGACCACTGTTCAGATCAACTCTGAGCACCGAATAATGTGATATTGTGTGTCTTGGCATATCGCCAGAAATGACTAATTATGTTTACTGAGTGATACCAGAAACCCTTATGAGGCAGAATGAAGTGAAAAATCAAAGTACATTGTCGACCTTGAGGAGTAGCATATAAATAATTTCCACACAACTAACTATTAATGGAGCGCTAGGCATAAATGGGTTAGAATAGTGTGCGGTCTTGATCATTAGTGTACTCCTCTTCAAAAACTGTGCAAAAGATTCTTGTAAGGCAGTTTGTTTTATTTGAAATGTAAAAAGGTATTTAGTCATCATCGACGTGACATCCGTCGGAACACATAACACTTGCTCCACTGCTTCTGAATTCCAACTTAAATTTTAGGGAAATGCTGGTTTAGGTAGCTGTCACAAACTAACCATCATGTTATTTTGCATAGCTTGAATTGTCCAAAAACTTTGATTCTATACAAGTATCATGATTAGGAATTGCTAATTCAATTGAACGACTTGCTGATTCAATCGCTGGAATTAAAGCCGTTTCCGACTATTGATCTTCGTTGCCAACCGTTTGACCGAATTTGTAAAAGAGGGCGCATACATGTAAGTAAATTAAGAGCATACCATCCTTTACTTTATCTTTACTTTAGAATAACATGAGAGTTCGGTTTAATTCTAAATAACTTCGAAGTCCTTCCTCTGTAGAGTTCTTTCCAGAACAGTAATTCCTTAATACTGCTGGTTATATAAAGGTTTCTTATTTAAATAAATTCAGACTATGTATTTTTATACAATTAATTAACCAAATAGAGACATTCTGAATAAGACTGAAAGCACTGCTTTTCAACTCCTTGTGTGTCATATGTAAAAGAAGAAATTTAGAATTTAAGCCAATAACTTTAAAGTGTTGATTAAATCTCAAATTTTCAATTTCTTCCAAAAAGTTACTAAACCTGGTATGCTAAATTTCGCAAAATGTTTTGGAGAAAATAACCAAATTCCAAGATGTAATGTCCTCGGTGCTACTGGAGCTACTTGAAATTAAGAGATTTGAGTATTTTTGTCCTTTCTCCCAAGATGTAGCATATGTAGAAGGAATTTAGAATTCGAGCCAATGACTAAAGGGTTGATTAGATCTCGAATTTTCCAGTTCTTCCGAAAACTGCTAAATATAGCAAGATCTTCGGTGCTGCTAGAGGTATTTAAAAATAAGACATTCGAGTATTTTTGTCCTTTACCCCATGTGTATAAGCAAAAATTTAAATTATTGGAAGTTCCTCCAGAAAGTGTTTTTGTCCTCAGTCATAATAACCTTTGCATATTCGATTAAAAACACTGACAAATAATATGTTAAAAAATTATAACAAATTCAAAATACAAAGAATCACAATTCAGAATGACCAAGCAGTTACACTATTAAATGCAGAAGGAATATTTAAAATTATTTGTACAATTTACTAGAATGGATATCAATTTAATTCCGCTTATAAAAACCTAAGTTACATTGAGCTAATCTTTCTATGCTAATAGATATGCTCCATTTACATGAGTATTCCTATTCTTACTGAACGCATTTGTTTTATTTCAGCTCGGAGATGAATGGAAAGACGGTTTGTGCGAGAAATGCAGTTGCGTTGAGAGTAAAGGCCAACTTGGACCACTATGCACTGTGGAGCAATGTCCACTTCTGGAAGATAATCCAGAAAAGGAGGTCTTAATAAATTTTATTCACAATGTTCATTATAATATAATTTTAAATACTTATTTAAATTATTCATATAGAAAAAGTATTTGGAAACACTGTCAAAGTTGACTTTCCTGATTTTCTATATCTTCTGCAATTTTTCCAGATGAACTGGATTGTACTACCATTATATTCTACTTCTTTCATTCACATAAAAACTGTAGAAAATAATAATAGTAGTAGAGAGTGAGAGAGAGATGGCTGAAGAATAAAAATGCATAAAGTTAATAAAGAAATATTACCCATCAATCATTTTGCTTCATACATCAGTATCTCGTAAGCAGATATTTCAAGATCAGGTATTCTTACGCGAAGAAAACTCAAAGTTTCATTTCTGGACAGAAATCACTATTATTTAAAATTTTCTGTGAAAACTTCTTTTAGCTTCTAATAGATTTAGAATATCTCTGATGTACTTAACAGTGACAATTAGAGACCAAGATGTATAGAAAACACACGGTATTGTTACGTTCTGGAGACATAAACCTGCAAAATATATTCCCCATTTCACTACTTCAGCTTGAACCAAGAATTAGAGTCAAAGCAGCCATGCGTAGTTGTCAGTTAAAGGAAATATTTACTTAAAATTCATTATTTAATTAGAAAAAAAAGTATTGCAAATTGAAACTGAATTATAATTTATCAATATCAGTTCATGAATAATTAAGTAAATTTTATTCACGTATAATTTAGTATATTTCTTGTAGACTATCAGCATAATATTTTTATAAAAAGGTAAATAATATACAAGAATTCTTAATAATCTTGCCCACCTAAGATACAAGTGGCAAAGTCATTTGTTACGAAGTTAATAGGATAATGCTAAAACGGTCTTACATTAAGAGTTTTAAATGTTTGCCTTAAAAATCAGTTTGCAACAACAATTTTATTTTAATAAAACAAGAAGTTTCAGTAATTTAAGAGATCGTTGCAATTTATAAAAGTATTTACTAAACAGTTTTAAACTGTTTAATTATTTAATAAATCATCTATAATAATCATCAGTTAAAAATAAGTTAAGAAAGAATACATGTTATTATTGTTGCTGATGATAATGTGATTCCGCCTAATTCAATTAATTTTGGTGTAAATTATTATATCTAAAACTGCGGGTATTATAGTATTTCCAGTGATGCCTTATTTACTACTGTTTCTAGATTTTTGGAATATCCTCTCTTTCTCTGATGGGGGGGCATGTTGGCCAGACCGTTAGACTCCAAACAGATAACTTTTTGAGAAACAAGCTTAGCTTTGCCTAAAATGAATGTAATGGTAATGGTGAAATTGAATTATCAGTTTTAACCTTATTAAAGGTAGAGTTATAATCTTCCCAAACTCACATGGCATTTAGAAACATAATTTTTGAACTGTTATTATGAAATGATTTCTTTTGTGAATCTGAAAATTTAATTTATCTTAAATAATTTATTCAAAATAATTTATGACATTTTCTTGAAAAGTTTGTTTTATGAATTTCTTAGATTCTCGATTTCTTATTAACTTCCACATCGTACCGTGATACACCAACATACTGTTAAACTAATGAAATAAAGAAATGCTTACATTGCTTATATTTACGTAGTTTCAATATTCATACATAACTACACTATGTTTTCTTGTAGGACTACGTATTGCATGAATATCAAGTGCCGGAAAAGTGTTGCCCAGATATTTTCAAAGTCCAGTGCAAAGATGAGTTTGGTAATGTATACGAGGTAAATTCAAGCATAAATCTGATTAATTTAAAACCTTTTTAACATTGTTGATATAATAGAATCGTAATAGAAAAGAAACAGATAATTTGAAAGAACTTCGGAAATTATGTATGTTTTCTACCCCCAACCCCCCCAAAAAAACTTCATTTATTACTTGAATGCCCGGATATACATAGCTGAACCTTAAAATTCACGGCATTGATACTGTCTGAATCCGCTTCATTATGCCCGCATTTATGGTGAGTTTCATGAAAGCTGTTTTGATAATTTCCAGTAATTTGTAGAATCTATCATGAAAACTCTGTGCATAACCTGAGAGCATTAAAATGCTTTAAAAAGTAAGGTGTAACACGAATGCATGAAATTTATGGAAATACTAATGTAATTATTCATTTTTTACCATAAAGTAAACATAAATATTTTGTTAAATGTTAAAATTTTCCAAGATTGCATACTAAGAATCGCAGAAATTTCATGATGCCACTGGCAATCAGAGAAATGTAAGCAAATGTAAAAATAAATAGTATATGTACAAAATTAACGGTAATGCATGCTAGGCTATTGTAATAATTTTACCCCTACCCCACGTCGCTGATAATCTCAGCTGAATATTTCGCCACTTCCGAAAACTGAGTATTGCAGTAAAAATGCACTCATGTCCAAAATTACCTTTACATGCATGAAATCACAGATTTCTCAGCAACTGTAAATACAACTTTTTGAATTTATGTGGAATGCTACATAACATCATAAATAAATAAATAAAAAGGAAAATAAAAAGGGAAAATTTAAGAACAGTGCATTGATATAAAATTATAGCATGAAACAATACAAATGGTAGTAATATGTTACAAGGAGAATTCAAGAAAAAAAATGAAGTTTTACGTATTTAGTATGGAGTCTCCCGCCGTGATTTGTACACACATATTCAAATGTGATTTCATGCTGGCCATAACGTTGTCGGTTTGGAGTGTTCCACTCCTCCAGCAGTACAGTCTTCAGGACATTTACATCTCTAGCAGGAGGATGTCTCCATGCAACTGATTTGCCAAAGTAGTTCCATCCCAAGTTCTCTATCGGATTACGATCAGGAAACTTTGCTAGCCACGGTACGCACTCAGTGTGTTCACGTTTAAGGAATTCGAACGAGGTTTGTTTAATGTAGGTGACCTTTGTCCTCCATAAATAAAAGGTCAGATCCATATGCAACTTGTGAAAAGTTTTAAGACCTCATCCCGATATCTCTAGACCGATCACAGATTCACCTTTGGAAACGTGTAAGGGTGAACATCTATCGATCATTATTCCTCCCCATAGCATCACACCTACATTACCGAAACGGTCATATTCTATAATGTTCTAAGGAATATTTTGCATTCCTGACTCTCTCCAGACATTAGCATGTTAAGAATGAGATGTTAAAGTAAACTTCGATTCATCAGTAAAGAGAGCATGGAACCAATGGTGTTCACTCTAGCTCTGACGTTCTTTACACCAATTAAAGCGATTCCTCTTTTGTGAACAAAGTGAAACGCATACCCTTGGCTCTCCGACATTTAAAGCCTTTTCCATTAAGCCTTCCATTAAGTATGCGGTTTGCCATGTACAACAGTTCCAGCGGCGGCTGCAAGCTCTGAACTCATCTACCTAACAGTAGTTTTCCCGTTACAATGAACAGTTATTTCCAGATATCGATCCTGAAAAGCGGTTGTTTTTCATTTATTGCATTGTCCAGGCCTCCAGAGTTCTGAAACATTTTCCGCAGCGTAGAGACTGTCTGTCTTGAAGTATCTACACATTTCACTGTTTTTATGTTCGTCTGTCCTGCTTCTAAACGACCGATGGCTCTTCTCTTCACAGATTCTTCCTAACGAAACTTAGATAGATACACCAAACCGTTTGGAGGCCTTGCACACTGAAATTAAACAATGCATTGCAGAATTTCACTAAGATATTCACTTTGCGCTTGATTCAGCATCACATGACGTAACGCCTTAACTAGCATATCAGATACCGTTTGATCCCTTTTGATTCGATAATGCTAATCAGGCTTATCTTTCACTCATTCTTTGCAAAAATGGATTACATCGATTGGATACTTCATTAAATATCATTTTTTTTTATAATAAGTAAAGATAAATTTGGACATGAGTGTATTTCCTGTAATTCTGAGTTACTTTTCATAAAACATAGAACACTTTATCATACTTTAACAACATTCTAATAAATCCACACATAGTATCTCTAATTGTGATAGAATTAGTTTTGTGTGTTCTAAAATTCTTCTTAGTTCGGTGTGAACTAAGAAGTTTTTATATTTGAAGAAAAAAGAAACTGAACATCTCGATATATAGTAGACTTTGTTAATGTATTCATGGTTTCCAAAATTCTGTTCTGAATATAAATGTAATAATGTTCTTCTATAAAAATTTTGTGACTTATCACTCATAGTGTCATTGCTTGTCAGTGACATATGAAACTTTTTATCTATGATTAAAAATTATATTTTTTCATATTATCATTTTATTTTTTATTTCTGTTGTTAATCATACGTATAGCATTTTGAGTATAATTTTCTTGTAAGATATGCAAGTTCTTAAACTTGCGCTAATGCACGTTCTGATAGAGAAACAATTCATCTTGTTAACAGATGACCTAAATTTACGATAACAATAAATGTGAATTCTTATCGTAAATTTGCAGTATTTATATTGCAGGTCTTTTCCCCCTCTCCTTATAATATTCTCTCAAAAAAAGAGAAAGATAAGAAAGAGAAAAATAGATGTCTTCTATCTTGGATTAATAAACATCTAATACGTAAAGTGTACAAAATATGTGCTAACTTTGAAAATAACATAAACGTTAACTAACTTATTATTTTTCAAGCTTTTTATTAGCACCGGGTTATTGTTAGCTAAGATTCTGGGCGGTAATAATTATACACGGATTTCAAACTGTGCAAAATATTTGCGCTTCTAGCTCCCTCACAATTCAAGATCCAGTTGAATGTATTTGATAAAGAGTTATATTGTTACAAATGGAGCAGCACCTGTAGTTACTAAACAGCTTCTAACAACAGAAGCTTTACAAAATAATAATAGAACCTCGGGTATATTCAGGACTCTTTAGCAAACTCTTTGTTGAACAGACGCTTTACAAAATATGATGACACAGCGATCCTAGCCCAAAGTCCATTTATTAGTCCAATCATCCAATAGTTAGAAGGACACATTCAAGCACTAGAGACTTGGCTTGCCAAGTGGAAGATCCTTGCCAATGTGGACAAAAGCCATTATGTTCACCAGGAAAATGCACATTAAGAAGAACCTCAAGTTTTATGGAACTACCCTACCCTGGGCCAAGCAAGTCCCTTACCTTGGGGAGATCCTCAATAAATCTCACACATGGACCGATACAGTACACTGTTTTACAGAATTTTCTAGCTAATTAATTCGTAAAGCTAAACTCTTCCGCTAATCTCTCGAAACAGTATTTTATCCGTAGATAATAAGCTACTCATTTATAAGTCCATTCTGCGTCGTTTACTTTGTTATGCATGTCCAGATTGAGCGTATGCCTGTAAAAGAAATCGAAAAAAATTGCAAACGGCCCAGAACTTCCGCATGTTATATACGTAATAACCGCATTCACGAGGAACTCGTTATTGTCCAGCTTAAGACGCATTGTTATAATATTACCAAAAAATTTCATGAAAGTCAAGCCATTAATAGTAATTCTGCCATCAAAATTTGTGATTATGATTACAATGACCTTACAAACTTAAACAGACCTATGGCAATTTTAAATATACATAATATGTAATTTGTATTTTATCAATTCTTGTACATTCACAGTCCACTACTTTGTACCATTTGTATTTCTCCACGCTGTATGCTGTGCATTATCATATCATCCTATATTCTGTAAATGTCTGCATAGCAGCACCAAGGTTTCGTACTTTCTTGGGCTCTGACAGGTTCTAGTCACCAGCTCGAACTTCAGAGTTTGCGATTTTTGAATCCTTGGCCACCACATCTCATTTTTAAACATCTTTATTTCTACTTGTTAAAAAAAGACTATTAATATATATGTTACTAGCCGCTACGCGGACAGTCATCGTCTTGCTTTTAAATGCCTTAAGGGAACACCAAATATTAAATTTAAAAACTGCTCAGAATTTTGTTCTGCAGAACAACTTTATCCAAAAAAAAAAGGGGGGGCACACAAAAAATTTTTAATAAAAACGTATTACATATAAAAATATTACAATGAAATAAGCAATATCCCTTAATGCAAGTATTAATTATTTTAATAAATAAATAAACCATTTTCCCGTAGCCTTCTCTCAATAAACGTCCAGTATCCAAGATAAACATTAAATTTTAAAAAGCTGCACAGAATTATAGCCCTCATTTTTCCGAGTGGCAACAGCGCTGATATCAGCAACAACGTCTGATTGCGCATTGTTGCTGTTCAATAATCGATTTGATGCGATTTCATCAAAAAACATAAAATAAAAAAATATCATTCGAGTTTTTAAAAAAATCTCTTTTAGGTCCACTGGCTCTTGTCAAGATGCACGCATGTACCAAATTTCGTAGCCCTGGGTCTATTAGCTTACGTACAACACGAACGAAAAGAACGAAAGACACACACACACAGACAGACGCTTTTTTATATATAGATTATCGATTTGATGCAATTTCATCAAAGAAACATAAAATATTTTTTTTTTTTTTTAAATCTCATTCGAATTTTAAAATTCGCTTCGAGGTGCACTGGCTCTTGCCTAGATGCACCCTATGTACCAAATTTCGTAGTCCTGGGTCTATTAGCTTAAACGCAACACGAACGAAAAAGACACACAGACCAACTCTTCCTTTTATATATACAGATTACGAATTACTATTAATACTATTAAGAGATATTTCTACTTTTATTCATTGGAATAATCTCAATTTTTTATCGCATCTCCCTTTCATATGTGAAATATTTTTTCAGTTACTTGCACGATATAGTTAGGAAAGTAATCTTTTCGATTAAAGAAAGGGCCTCGTGCCTAGGACCCTGGTTTGTACGCCGTTCTACTAGTGAAACAGTCTTTACAAAATATGTTTGATAAAAAGTTAATATTTACCAATATATTCCCTCTTTACCAAATATATTCCTAAAAATTATATTATTGCAAGTACAACTTTCCTGTTATTAATTGTTTTATTATTACGCAGCAAAAATTTTAAAAATGTCATAAAGTTGGAAAAAAATTGATAAATTAAATATTTTCAGGCTGAAGAACAATGGACTGATGAAAACGACCCATGTATTACTTACATCTGCGAAAAAAAGGATACTGGTGACGTAAGCAAAATAAAAAGTGTAATGAACTGCACTGAATGTCCAAGAGTAAGTCAATCTATTTTAATAAGCTTTCTATATTTGGCTTTTAAAAGCTGGTTAATTATTAATCAATGTGCATATATACATGAAAATAATGGCCTCGATTTTAAATCAATGAAATGCATAAAACTGAGGGTAAGAAGTAGTGCTTTAAATTACAGTGTTGCTGGAAACAACAGATACAAATCTGAATTATAACAACCAACCAAACACGAAATAAATAACGTAAATGCTAAATTCTAAAATGCGAAATTGAAGCAATGCAGAAGAAAAATAATAGATATTAGATAAAAAAAAATCCTTTCAATAACAGAAACTGTCTATGATGCGCTGTCTCATCGGGGAAGGGCAGGGCTAAATTTCTAAAATTAGAAGATAAGCCGTATGGAAGGCAGTCCGGTAAGAGGAATAAAAATTAATATGGAAAATAACTAAAATAATAATTTTAATTTTAAGATCTAGTCTACTTGGCTAGCATAAACTGCTACTAGACCCACCTGAAAGTCTGTTAGCGACTTATCGCTAAGCCTAGAAGATGAATACAACAGGGTAAGGGTGTAAACGACCCTTTTATTGAATTTAATTATTTACAGACGGCACAGTCCTTGTGCTTACAAATCCATCATCCACATTTGGCAATAAAAATAAGAATAATGGTAAACTAATCTAAATTTAAAGATAATCTAGTAATGCCAGACTACACAAATTAATTTAACCTTGCAGGTTGATTCAGAAACCTACATCGGCGTGATATTGAACTTCGGCGGCAAGAATGCGAAGCCGAGATTCAAATTTAAACAGCTGATAGAAACAACGAAGTGCGCACTCAATAGCAAAACATGCTCTGACTAACCTTTACTTCAGTTTAAATACACTCTCTTTCATTTGCATCCTGGTACGGAAACGCGTGAGAAACAAGAATGACGGGAAAGGCTAATAAATTAAAATAACTATTAGTAAAAATTATATGCACCTCACAAAGCAATTAAAATGAAAAAACATGTAAAGAAATATTTAGTGAATTATTAATGATAAGTAATTAAATAATGAAATAAAATACCAGACTTCGTTATATTTAAGCCTCTAACAGAAATTAAATTCCTCTCGAAAATAAAAAATAACGGATCAGAGCTTTAGCTGAATTTAAGTAATGGCTGTACAGTATAATGAATGTACTGTTTAAATGAATGATAAAAACGAAAATTATTCTTTTACCAGCACACCACAAATGAGAATAGACAGAAAGCTAGAAACAGTATGAGAGTGCGAAATAGAATTTTAACGGAGAAGTATACGTAAAAGAGTCCAATACTTTTCTGACCACGATTCACTGCGATATAATTCTAGATGTAAAGCAAAATGAAGAAAGGGAAAAATTCGAGAATTGGAAATCCCCGAATTGTAAATCGCGAGTAACTGAAATCTCCGATATCGAATCCGAGGATCACACATCACGAGCAGGGCTATATTTGTAGTACTTTCAGGAACGAAAAATTCATCCGTTCTCATAAAAGCTAGCATTAATTCTTTGCACTTAAGAATACGTTTTTGACATGTGAATGGGGGGGGGGATTTTCCATTTCTTAAAAGGCTCGACATCCATCCACTAGCGTCTACATCTCAAAACGGCAGTCTATAAGAGAGGCGATTCTATTATTTTCATCGGGGAGTAGGGGAGTTAGAATGGTTTTCTGAGGAATGCAACGGCAGTGGACTATATGTTTGCTTACATTTGGAAGTTCAAAAAATTGCTAAGGTGGACTGCCTTAGTTTCTACAGTTACTTACAGGGAAATATAGGCAGTTTTTTCGGTTTGCTGATAGAGGGCAAATAGACAATTTACCTTTATAATCCGCGTTTATCTATTTAAACTTCAGAAGATTTAAGATGAAGCGAATATATTTAACACAACAGAACACAATCTTAAGACTTGTAAATCTTTTAAAAGACAACAGCAAATTTTTAAACATTACTGTAAAAATATCTTTCTCTTCTAATTAAAATAAATAATAAGATAATGCATGGATGAATTGTTAATTATATGATAACTATGCATTTATAAAAGTTTTTAATAATGAACTATAAATAAATATTTTTAATTATCGATGTATTTCTTTTTAAAAGATTTACAAGTCTTAAGCTTGCGTTCTGTTGTGTTTAAATATATTCGCTTCATCTTAAATCTTCTGAAGTTTAAATAGATAACGCGGATTTATAAAGGTAAATTTCTATTTGCCCTCTATCAGCAAACCAAAAAAACTGCCTAATATTCCCTGAAAGTAACTGCAGAAACTAAGGCAAAACCACTTTTGCAATTTTCTGAACTTCCTAATGTAAGCAAAACATCGTGGCACTGCCGTTGGCGTTCCTCAGAAAACCATTCTAACTTCCCTACTCCCCAATGAAAATAATAGAATCGCCTCTCTCATAGGCTGCCGTTTTAGGATGTAGACGCTAGTATATCCATTCAAAGATTTGTTTCCCAGGGAAGGACGAGCATGCATTGAGAAGTTAGAATCGAGTTTATGACATACTTATTACTAAAATTAAGTTGCACAACATCGAAAGAATTTTCTGCGCAAAACTGTGGTTCAGTTTCACAAAAGAAATGCCAGAGCACCTCTTGTTTAGAGCCCCGCTGTGCTTCGGCTAGAATTATGATTTATCTGAAATACTGAAAGGCGCTGTAGCCTAAATCCAAACAATCGATTATTAACAGTTATATTTCTAAACTGTACAGCTTAAAACTTGTGTAATTTAGAATATTAAGAAAGTTAACCAAAACAATTAATAAAAGCTACTATATGTTTAAAAGCTATACACCCAATGTGACCGAGAAGGGAGTGAAAACAAAGCATGAACTAAATATTAAGATGAAAATCTTGATGAAAAAGGAAATATGAATTTATAGCTAAGAAACTAGCTATAACTTGTATTAATTTAGAAGTCAAACAACAAAAATCACCGTTATATTTTCAAATTTTCACAGGACTAGTTTCGATAGTTTTACCGAACCATCATCCTCAGCTGCGAATGCACAAATGCAAAAGCGCAAAATCCATTTGCGCATTCGCAGCTGAGGATAATGGTTCGGTAAAACTATCGAAACTAGTCCTGTGAAAATTTGAAAATATAACGCTGATTTTTGTTGTTTGACTTCTAAATTAATATTTGTTCTGCATGTTATTGTATCTTAGCTATAACCTGCTTAATAAAGAGTCAAATAAGTGCATATAATCCTATAAAAATCAAGCACAGCCAAGTTGTTTCAGCAAAGCGAATAATGTAAATTATTTATTACTGCAATAATTTTTATGCTACTAATAATTCACAACAGCCATCATTCTAATTTAGAAAATGCAAGATAACAATAATAATATCAGAAAGTTCTCATACAAGAGCTTACAAAAGCAAAAAGAAAATGCAAATAAATATGATGAAGTTACCAAAAACGATGTAAAAACCCAAGTAGATTTTTAAGTTTTACTATTCATAAAAATAATAACACAAGGTATAAGGTAATTTCTCCTTCCTTTCCGCGTACCTTCGTGGTGTAACAGGACAGTACGTCTGGCTGGCAATCGGAAAGTCTGGTATCCGATTACCGGCGAGGGCAAACCTGGTTTCTTAGGTTTCCTAGGTTCAAAATAATTAAATAATTGTCCAATTGGTGCCCGAACTAAACGATGGTGGATGGTAATATCGTCACCACCAGGATTTGGCAATTGAGTCCTCTCATTTCCAGTCGCTTTTTAAAAGGGGATATATATAAGAGAATTTTCCCCTTCCTTTCCGCATGCTTTCGGGGTATAACTGGATAGCACATCCGGCTAGCAATCGCCAGGCCCGGCGCTCGAATGCCGGAGAGGTCAGCTCATATTTTTCATGTAAAGACTCTGCAAATGTAATCATTTATTCTGTCCACAGCATTTCAGGCTGTAATTCAACTCAGCCTTCATTCGTGCGTTTTTCATGAAGCGAAACACGTTAGCTGGAAATTAAGAAGAAAAAAATTAAGTGTCTAAACCTTTTTTTCTGCAGCTGTTGTTCGCATGTTTAGATTCAAATCGAGTGGCTGAAAGTAATCTTGAAGATCCTATTTTATAGTAACAGACTATATCGTACGCGTCTTTATATTACACACAAGAAAAAAATATGAAATTTATATACAGATGGCTCGTTAAAATAAGTAAATAATTGTCCAATTGGTGCCCGAACTAAACGATGGTGGATGGTAATATCGTCACCACCAGGATTTGGCGATTGAGTTCTCTCATTTCCAGTCGCTCTTTAAAAGGAGATATATATATAAGAGAATTTTCCTCTTCCTTTCCGCATGCCTGCGGGGTATAACTGGATAGCACATCCGGCTAGCAATCGCCAGGTCCGGCGCTCGAATGCCGGAGAGGGCAGCTCATATTTTTCATGTAAAGACTGCAAATGTAATCATTTATTCTGTCTACATCATTTCAGGCTGTAATTCAACTCAGCCTTCATTCGTGCGTTTTTCATGAAGCGAAACACGCTAGCTGGAAATTAAGAAGGAAAAATCAAGTGTCTAAACCTTTTTTTCTGCAGCTGTTGTTCACATGTTTAGATTGAAATCGAGTGGCTGAAAGTAATCTTGAAGATTTTATTTTATAGTAACAGACTATATCGTACGCGTCTTTATGTTACACACAAGAAAAAAATACGAAATTTATATACAGATGGCTCATTTAGCAACTAGAAAAATAACTTAATAGAAAACACCAGGGTTTCGCGACTTAAATACTCGACCACTGGTTGGCTAAAATCGAGCAATGAACGTAAAGTGCAAAGATAGTTCCTAATTCGAGAAATAAGAACGAATTTTTTAAATAATTGTTAAATTATTATTTCAGGTGCATTCTGGTGTTTTTTTTTTTTTTTTTTTTTTTTTTTTAATCCCTGCCAAAATAAGAACATAAGCTACAATGTTTTCATTAATACTGTTCACTGTTTAAGTACATGGGGGAAAAAAAAAATTTCCTTCTCATTTTTTTTCCATCCTCTTTTAGACTGCTACTTATTTCCCACCTTCTAAAATACTTGGCCAGTGTTGTGGCGTTTGCAAAATAACGAAATGCGAAGATGGAGAAGATTTATACGAGGTAGGAGATAGTTGGGTTAGTCGAGACCAGCCCTGTCGAAAAGCGGAATGTATAAACGAGTTTGGTAAAATAAAGACAATTTATACCATGCAGCCTTGTCCAGTTATTCCTAAGGATTGTCCAGAGGTAAATAGTTCAATTTTATTTCATTTTACACAATTCTGAACTTTCGACTAAGAACCAATTAAGCACTGTTTAGTCAAAAGCTATATGGATTTTCAATTTTTTTCTCTTCCATCCTAAGGATAAAATTGTGTGGAATCAAAATGGTTGCTGTAAAATTTGCAATCTCACAAGTGGTAAGTTAATTTTTGAATAAATTCAAAAGTAAATGAATTTCAATTCTACATATGTTTTCAAAAATATTGTATTTCTTTTTGTTTTAAAAGGAACTGATATAATGATATGATCGTAAAGATCAATTATATGTAATATCTACATCAGGGCAAACATAACGTTTAGGAAACTCAAGTGCTCAGAGATGTTTTATTTGGAAAAGTGCAAAAATCGATATTGAAATATTTATATATATGTAATATATTTCGCAAAGTTGGTGGCGTAGAAGATGCATAAAAGAAGGAAAAAGAAACTTGTAACAGCAGTTGTAGTTAGTTGTAAAAAACAGTTGTAGGCGAATTCATTTATTTCCTTTTTACTAGGCTTGCACACATTTTTAATCAAGCTGACACTTATAAAATGGGATTTGATACTTTGATACTTTGTCAGCATACTGGCCTTCAGCAGGGGATATTAAATAGAATGGGTGCTACAGCTTCTTGTTCTTAAAGAATTTTTTACATCGGTGCTGATAAACTTGCGAAATATATTTTTTGAAGACAGCAAAGAGCAGCAAGTTGCAAGAGCGAAGCGGAGAGCGAAAAGTGGTGCATTCTGAAGAAAGCATGGAAGAGAAAGTTAAGAGTTTTGGTTCTGGACGCCAGAGGATGACTACAATGGCAAATGATCCTTCTATTGCTATGTACAAGACGCCGTAGATCACTAACAGCACGGCAGCTGGCGTCGCATCTCTCAGCTGCTGCAGGACGGCCCATATCCCGCCAAAATGTGTCACGTCGACTACATGAACGTGGACTTTATTCTTTGGTCCCCATAGCAGTCGAATTGGGCGGTGAATATCGCAGCTAGACAACACAGCACTGGGGCCACGTACCCTTTACAGATAAGTCTCAATTTAACATCCAGAACGATTCCTGAAGGGCAATGATATGTCTATAGCCAGGGACACGCTATCGGGCACCAAACATCATCGAAAGAGACAATTACATGAGAGGGACGCTTGCTTATATGGGCTGGTATAGCAACGAATGGCCAACCTATACATGATTCCTGGTGGTTCCGTTAAGCTGTCCAATATCGAAATTCTGCACCCTCTTGTGCGTCTTTTTATCGCTGCAATGGGTACCGATGCGTTATTTATGGACGATAACGACCACCCGCATAGAGCTCTAGTGAAGCGGAGTTATCTGTAGAGTGAAACCATTCCACATCTGCCATGGCCTGCTAGATCATCAGACCCGAATCCCATAGAGCATGTGTGGGACAATAGATAGAAGGTCGCAGTATGCCGCCAGTACCTTCCATGAGCTCCGACATGCATTACTACAGAAATGGGCACTACTGCTATAACAAGCGATCGACATTTGTCTGGCCGTCACCAAGCATGCATTTCAACTAGAGAGTATCATACCCGTGATGCTTCCACTACACATTTTTCAGACCTATTTGGTCTTTCGCGATGTAATGGTCGTAATACATATGTTTTTGTATGACTCTACTTAATTGTTTACTATGTAGTCTATGCCACATCAACCTCTTGGATCAATTTCACGTATATCAATTAGTTTTTGCTTTAGTCCGTGTTTTGCCTTTGTTGCATATTTTTTTAGCAAGAGTGTATTTAAATTAAGGCCGTAATTTCCATTACTTAAAGAAATAATATTTTACATATACCTCATATACATTTAATTTGCTGTGATATATAAAATATGTATGAAATTATGGAAGGTAATAGCATTCTTTAGCTTCTGTACTATTACTTGAATTCCTAGTTTCTGAAAAAAAAAAAAATCGACTTTATTTTAGAAATTAATATGAATTAAAATTTTATTTAGATAATTTAATTTTTCACTTTGTATGAGTACTGTACCTAAGATGTAATTTCAAGGGGCCAGGAGAGACAGCAGTGTTTTTTTACATAAAGCCAATGTTTTTATAACAGTGTTGTACTTACAAATTGAAACCTTAGTTTCAGGGGGAGGGGCTGCGGCTCCTTCAGTTCCTTCCCTACATGTTTGTACATATATAAAAACAGAGAATATACATATGATGTTTAAAACTTACAGAAATCAGCTGCAGCACTGGCCCTATACCTGAGGAAGATACAATCGGTTTCTTCACATTCCAAGATATGCTCCATGGCGGTGTATGCGTGAATGAAAAACCTGTATCGCATGTTCTTCGATGTTCTGGTGCATGCCATTCACACTCATATTATTCTTTGGGTAAGTTTCATAATCTACGTGGTACTGATATACACATGCACATGTTGGCAACAAAACTGAAGCATTATGTATAGTACCCTATATTTTAATCTAATAAATGTACTTCTGGTTAGGAAATTCAAATGATTTAAAATTTTATCAACAATAACACAGTGTAAAGTTGAATTTTCAGCAGCATTTAGAAATATAGACCTCAAGCACTAAAGACATAAAATATATTTTGGAGTTTGAAAGAAGGCAAATTGTTGCTATTTGTCTATTTAGTGCATTCCTTACCAAGGCAAAAATTGATATACTTGCCAAAATTGTCTAAAAGGGATGTTAGTGTGTTATAAAGAATTCTAAAAACTACTATTCAAATTATGGTATCATTTTCCTAAATTCACCAATTTCAACAAAAATTGGTTAATACTCGTGGTTAGGCAGCTATAGTAAAGCCACTGATAACCAGCATCCATAAAGGCTGTTTGAGTAGTGCCAGGAAAGCAAAACTTGGACAATACGGCAATGAAAAATGCGTCCTGTTCACTAAGGCAGCACTTTCACCATCTTTCCCACTCCCAAAAGAATTTACGATGCCTTCCTTCAAAGACATATGTTTCAAACTGCCTCACCCCCAGAATGAAGCTTGACAATGGTTTCGTGGCAGTTTGGACCTCAGAGAGTTTTTGAGAATAGTGACTGTTCTTCATCCTTTTCAAGGACTACCAATAAGCCAAAGCCCACCCCGCTGTCCAAATTTTATACTCCAAATGATGTACTGTTTATCAGGATGATAATGCAATAGTTCAAACCACAAAACTAGTGGAAAGAGAGATTTGAAGAATGTGAAAATGAGCCTGAATATCTTTCACATCTTGCATAAGCTCCTAATCTGTTGAGCTTATCTGAGGTTTCCTCTTCCAACATCATAAAGTGAAACAGCTACTACATTGCAAGAGAAATGGCTTAAAATACCTATAATGGTTGAAAAAACTTATGCACTAATTTCCAAGAACAGCTGCAATATTGATCTCTAAAGAGAGCCTACAATATAAGAGTAAAGCCTACAATATAAAGTATTATATTGTAGGCTCTATTTGCAAGTGTTTTAATTTCATATTCCAGCCCTATACACCTACTTACTAAGAGTAACACCAGGAAATTTCACTTATACCACCAAAAAAAACCAAATAATTAAATCTGGGCTTAAATGAATTATTCTGATATTCATAAAATGCAATTTTTACGATAATTATTATTATTAGATAATATACCAAATACCTTTATAATTCATTGAATGATTACATTACAAAACAAAAATCGACCAACATGGATTATTATTCCACAAATTTTTATTCTGAAGTACAAGGTGTTTATAAAGTCCCGGACCCATTTTAATGTTTAATAACTCATAAAATAATAAAGATAGATTAAAATTAATAATATAAATGGTTAGATACACTCAAAAAGTTTCATGACAATTGTCAATGAACTTCCATGTGTGCCCACTTCGTCGCATGGAAAATATCAAGTCGATATTCAATTTCACGCCAGGTACCGGCAAGCATGTCGGCATCCACAGAGGCTATTGCTGTTGTAATTCTGGCTTTTAGGACATCAATGTTCGACACTCTCCTCCTGTAAACGTTGTCCTTTACAAATCCCTAAAGGAAAAAGGTCCAGCGGCATTAAATCAGGTTATCTGGGTGACCAAGGAATTGGGCCTCGTCGCCCAATCCATCTTCCTGTAAAATGGTCATTCAAAGGACTATGAACGATGGTACCCCAATGAGGTGGTGCACCATCTTGTTGCAAAGTGGCTGAAGCTCTTTTAGTTGTTAAATACGAAGTTTTCCAACATGTCTAAGTATACTATACGACTGATGAGACCGTCTTTTCTGTAAAAAAAAAAAGGCCCAATGACTCGGTCAGGCATTAGTCCATACCACACATTAACCTTTGGAGAATCCCCTTTGCCTCACAGTATTCATGGGGGTTTTCATATCCCCATATGCGTACATTATGGCACATTAAAAGAGAGAAAAATGCAATTAATAAGCAGACGATATTTAGAAAAGTACAGATATTTAGACTAGAAAATGAAATTATTTGAAATTAACCACACATGCAAACGATATTTACAAAAGTAAAGATATTCAAACCTAAAAAGGAAAATATAAAAGTTATTCCATCAATAAATGCCAAAAGTTTGTTTATATCTTCATTATGAGTTATTAAACATCAAAATGGGTCCAGGGACTTTATAAACACCCTGTATATCTGAAAAAACCTCAGCTGAGCAAACCCCAGCTCAGTTACAATCAATATGATATAATACATAAAATGTTGAACAGAGAAATGAATTATGTAAAAGTAATCCATGGCTATTTGCCTAAACTAAGAGAAGCTTCATTGAAAGACGAAAATTGGTAGAACAATTTAGGTCGTAAAAACTTCAAAAACATCCAAGTTAATCATACAAATAACTCAACAAACAGCTTCCAGCATTTTGTGGCTTTAATCTCTCAGCCTAGGGTAAGATAAAAATTTTAAATTAATAGTTAAAAATATGATTTTTAATTGCATAAGTACATTTTATATATGAGAAGAACTTATTTATTTTTGGCTTATGCTGAAATCACATAGTCCAGGGTTCATACACATTTTTGCAAGTGGAAATTAAGTACTTCTAAGGATGATCAATGAAAAAATTGAAGACCTAGACCTTTTAGAATAGAAAATGAATAAACTAAAGCAATTATCTTCACCCAAACTTCACTTTTGTAATTTGTAAGAATAAAATAAATCTGCAAGTAGGATGCATTATTATTAAACACAATATTTAACTTAATTATAAAACAAAATCAAGAATAAAATCAACATCATAATTTTTTCAAGTAATTTGCATTAAATTATGAAACTTTTATGTTTTACATATATAACAGTCCCACATATTTTAAAGATTTAATGACTTTTTGTTTAAATTTAATTAACAATTTAGCTTGATACTGATTCTTTCTTTTGTGCTTCATTTTGCCATGTACTCGCTCAGTCCAAAAGTTTATGCAGATTTTACATCTGCCATAATTTAAATTGAGAAGAAAAATAATAATCAGCATGAAGCAAAACCGAAGCTTGGCTGTTGCCTCTGCAGCTGCTAGCTTAGAGACAGAGAACAACTGACAGAACACATGTGAAAGCCTGATGTTGGTATGGATATGTTGAAAGTTAGCTGCAGTTTGTCTCAGTTAAGTGTTATAGATTCGTGTCGATTTGGAGTTGTAACCCAGCTAATATACAGTATTTAATATAAAGTTCCAATAAGTCACTGAAACATAAGATGTGATAGATTGTTATGTATTATTTTAAATCTTATTAGTGGTAAGGAATAAAGTTTTATGTTAATTTTTAGATTTTTGTGTTGTATCTTATATTCACAATCAGGATTAATGAAAGGGATTAACTCAAAAATACAAATAAGTACAGAAGGGTGAACAGTTACTTACAAATACTTAAATTACGTACTTAGATATCCTTAGTCAGAATAGATTTAGATTTATATTATTATAATTTCTAAAAAGCATATGTTAAAAACACACTAAGAATATTTTATAGCAGTTATAATTTTATATTAATCCAAAAATTATATTAGCATAATTATACAAATATTTTATATAATTATAAAAGCATTATAAAAACATTTATGTTTTGTAGCAACAACAAAAAACAAAATGTTTATTCATTTTTTTCAGTTTGAAAGTTTTTCAGATATTTTTAGCTAATTTACAGGAATTTCCTTCTCTTTAGTATCTTTGGTAAGTTTATTTGTGTCAACAAACAAATCAATGTTCCTACTAGTCTCAGCTTCATCTTCTAATTAGTTAATATTTCAACAATGTACCTTTGAAGAATAATTCTTGTTTATAAAATCAATTTCTTTTTCAATCAGTTTCTTCTTCATTTTTAGAATTTTCAAATTAATTAAAGATTTTTTTTATTCTAAAAAACTGCTTGTACTTCGAATATATAGAATAAACTGCTAATTTTATTTCTTTAATAATATGAGTATTGAGAATAAATATGAAGTAATATAAGGTCAGGGCAGGTGCCAGTCTGGCAGAATTTATAAACTTTTTTGAAGCACAGAGCAATAAAATCTAGGAATGGCAAATATTCAAAAATTTACAGCAGGCACATAAATGTTTAAGGTGCACTCATACATACATCCTTTATCAGAAAAGTTCCAGAACAAAGGTCGAAATTGCATTTACCAAGTAATGACCCTAGCTATCAAAGTAGTATCCTTGGCTATCTATACACAACTGCCAACATTTCTGGAGATCTTGGAAGCAAGCGGGGAAATCTTCAACTGTGATGCTTGCAAGCTCATTTGTTACAGCTGTTGGATACCTGCAAAAATCTTGATGAAGCTTTCCTTTCAGTCACCTTTACGCTCATGGAAACAAGAAAAATTCACAACAATCTTTGACACACATATGGGATCATGTCTGTTTCTATCCAATAGTTTAACAGGAATTCTTCGTCTTTCCTCTTACTGTCCATCTATCTCTTGGTGAGTGAGGGATGATTCTTGCATCAAGTTTGTGTTTCCCTAAATCTTTGCATAAAATCTTATGACACACATCATGATTCAAATTCAGTTCTTCTGATATTACATGCACAGTTACATGATGGTCTTGCAACAGCCTTACATGCTTCACGTTTGCATAAGTATATGTTGTAGATGGACAACCAGCTCTGGGATCGTCTTGCACTGAATTGTTGCCTTCAGGAAACCTTTTGTGCCACTCGAAAACACAAACTTTTTTAAAGTGTCTCGCCTACATAGGCTTGCTTAATCATATTCTACGTTTCATTAGATGGTTTCCCAAACTTGAAGCAGAACTTAATGTTCACTCTTTGCTCACAATCAGCATTCTTTGCGACAACAATCCAAACAATGTGTTGCTAAACACAGCCCTGCCACTTAGTAAGTTTGTGTGGAAACATGGCCAAGGTCATGCTAAGTAAGAATACATACCAGGTAACGTAAAAACAACATTTGTTCCTTTTTAGTACTGTAAACTCGGAAATTTTAAAAAAAAAAAAAAAATTGTCCTGGAACTTTTCTGACAAAGTATGTATAAAAATGAATCTTTTAATAAATTGTTGAATTGTTTATTTTCAATTTCTTTGTTTGCTTCAATGTTTATTCTAGTGGAAAGATACCAGAATAAAAGGAAGATAAACATACTAAGAGAAAGACTTCTGGAATCAAAAGGAGAAAATTCAAATAATTTTATTTTCACTATTCTTCCAAAAGTTCTCCAAAAGAAATAAAATTCATCACAAATTTCCTATAAAACATGTCAGCCATTTTTCTGGAATTGTAGGTACATAAATCGCCTTTAAAATCCTTCTAACTTTCCAAGGTGCAAGGTCTGAAATCCCTACCAACTCTGTAAGAACAAAAAGCCAGAAGGTTTTTGGAAAAAAAAAGTTCAAAAAGAAACTGGTACACATTTAAATAGTCAGACACAATTACATGAGGAAAACTCATGAAAAAATATAAAAGACAAATGAAATTAATTAAAAAATAATTGCAATTCCCCCCCTTTTAAAATAAGTTTCAGAAACCGTGTCGCATTTATTATTGTTTATTTTTCAAAATAAAAATATTCCCAAGTCACAAAAATGAAATGTAATGTCACTTTAAAATACAGCAAGAGAAAATAAAAAATGTTTTACTTGAACGTTATTCCTTAAATATAATTTTAATATATTATCATTATTTTTATATTTCTAAATGTTATTATGTTTGTAAAAATCCAAAAATTCACAAATCTCTGAATAAAAAATTTTGTATTCAAACTGATCTCAAAATTGGCAAAATGTTCAGAAGTCAGCAAATTTAACACCGATTAATAACTGGACTTGTATCCCAAAAAGAGAAAAATTGATCTGCATGTAATATGTTATGAGCTGCTCATCCCCCCCCCAAAAAAAAGGAAAAAGAAATTGTATCAAAATGTTTGTTTCGAAATTTTGCTATATTAACTGTATTATGTTCCACTATGTATTCACAAGCATGTACATGATTCTTGGAACTTTTTGCCTATTTTTTGTTTATGTGCCCTCTTACTGTGCCTTACTGTGATATTACATTAGAAACAACTGTCTTGCATATTGGCATTTCTTTTAAACCTACTTGCTACTGATTTCGCATTGCTATTACTTGTAATGTTTACCTGCACCTTGATTTCTCTGGACTTTGTTATCAGCTGCTAGTCATTAGCATCTGGTTTCTGTTGACTCATCATTTACTGCTCGGTGGACTGTGCTGTTTATTGAAAGCTGTATCTGTGCCATATATTGCTCATGTTACTTGAGCTTCACATGCTATATTAACTCCGGTCTACATATTTGGAATTCTCACATATATTCGAAAATCGTGAAACTGTGTTACACTAGGATAGCACTTAAGAGCCACATCTTGCAAACTGCAGTCGCCTGAGCCAACTTTTTTACAAGACTATCACTTTATTTAATCATCATATAGAAAATTACTAATAAGTAATGATATTTGAAAATTTAAATATGTAATGCTGTTCATTATGTATCAGCATCTCTACATCTACAGAATCAATATTTCTTCATTATTCAAATGTCAAAAATTAGTTCATTTAATTTCATGTACAACAAACCCTGTTTAATCAAATGGTCGCCTGAGAACAAATTATTTACCGTATTTTTAAGCTTCATTTTTGTACTTGAAAAATTAATACATATTTTACGATAAATTTAAAAAGTAATGAGAGCACATTTGTATATAAATTACAAAGATGTGAAATATCAGTTCTAGAGATAATTTTTAAGCATCTACAGTAATTGATAAATTTTATCAGATTGTACTAAATAAAAACTTTTTGAAAGTGAATAACTACCAGAAATAGAAGCGTCAAATATTTAAATGAATTATAAAATAACCTTATAGTGTGTATTTATAACCAAGTGAAATTTTGACACTGTGACTTCCCCCCCCCCATTACAATTGAATTCTCTCTATTTCCTTTAAATAATGTTTTTAAAAAAAGTTTAATATGGAAATCTTGAAGTTTGATTTTATTTCAAATGTGTTTGAAACTATAAATGAAATGATGAATACAAAAATGGTTGGTGAATGGCGCTAATCTTATTTTGCACTGATGGAAGACTTTGACGATAACCCCATGAAGCCACGAATCCATCTTGCCTTACTAGCACTGTGCAAGTATCATGATATGGGGCATGGATGTGGCACTCTGATGTTCCTCAAGGGTAAACAAACAGCATGAGATATCTAGATATACTGGCAGATCAAAAGCACCCTGCAATGTTGCATTTTTAGCCTGATGGTGATCAATACTTCGTGGACGATAATGCAACTATACATTGTGCCAGAAGTGTTCAAAATTGGTTCGCTGAACATCAGTGTGACTTTCAACACTTTCCCTAGATCTTAACCCCATAGAAAATGTGTGGGATATGGTGAAAAGATGCATTCGACAGCATTCTCCTTTTCCATCTAATTTATAAGATCTAAAAAGCTGCATAGCCACTGCATGGTATTCTCTGAACATAAATGCACTCCAGAAGCATGTAAACTCGATGCCCAAATAAATCAGAGTAGTTATTCATGCAAAAAGTGGTTCAATAAAATATTGATCTTGGGTTTCTAATTAACTGGCCTGTGACCGTATTTTTGATGCAATAAACTTTGGCCATACGTTATCAAAAAAAAGTGTTATCCAAAATTGTTCAATCTTACATTGTTCAGATGAACGGCATGCTAGAGCAGAAGTTTACTGTAGTTTACTTGAAACACATCTTCATAATGCAGTTAGATGTCCTGAGTCTGAAGTTCAGGCAATATAATGTTTAAAAAGAGATTTAAAAGAATTTCAATGCTGGAAGGTGGTATAACATTTTTATAGATTTCTAGCATGATAACAGGGATAATGGATGAAAACTCAGTGTAACACCTATAATCTCTTGAAGATACATACTTTCCTGAACACACATCTAAAAATATTACATTAAAAAAAATTTCCTATTGCTTTTGAATTAGTGAAAAAAATATTGAAATTTTGAGTTTTAGCTGCAACTCTTGTTCTTGCATTTGAATACATTTTTCTAAATTATTTTTTCAAACTTTTGTCAAGATCTTAAATACAATAATATATGAAAATTCAAACTTGGTCCAAAGGAAGAACAGATCTATTAAACCTTTCTTTTTCATGCAGTGTGAAAAATTTTTTATCTTTATAGTTTAAAAATTAACTAAGAAAACCCACTTATGTATATGTACTTTCATTTCAGAGGATGGTGATTTTAAGAACATGTGCTTATGCTGCAAAGTGAATGTTACCATCAACCGAACTATTGAACTTCGTTGTCCAGATGGTAATTACATCACAAAAACATTCCTCCAACCAGAATCATGCCAGTGTTCAAAATGTGCTCCCAAAACAAAAGAAAAAAATACAGGCAAGACAGATTATAATTCAAACCCATGGAGTCAATCTGAAGAAACTGAAAATTCATTCAAAACATTCCAAATAGGTCAAGAACCTGAAGATACAGACAACTGGGAAATTTCTCAAGCTGAAAGTTTTTCACCTTTTGAAAAAAATACACTCTTCGAAGACAATAATGAATTTTCACAAGAAGAAGAAATATGAGGCATGTGTCCTCCAACTATTAATTAACTGACTTCCTGAAAAGACTAAATATGTTATTGATAAACATGGATAACTGCTATAAAACAGGTAAAGCGGTATTTCACATAAATACAGCACTGATGATGGACAACTATTTCTCTTTTTAGTGCTTTGATATTAATTACCCAGTGAGTGAAAAGGATTTTGATACATAATTTTATTTTATAAAGGATTGTTAAAAATCATTTTTTAAATATATTTACAAAATGTTTCAATTTTGTTAGAGGATATTTCCATGCAAGCTCTCCTAAGGAAATCATCTATGATCTATTCCATAGATACACATGTTGAAAAATTCATCTGTGAGTTGTTATTTAAATTGCAACAAAAATAATAATAAATACATACATAAAGTTTAAACTCTTCTGTCCGAAAAAAATCACACACACACGCAAAAAAAAAAAAAAAAAAAACTTCATACCTTCTTTGTAATGATTCAGAAATAAACTTGGTTGTGAATACAGCACACATTTCAATACTTAAAATTAATTTGCATTCATGTGAAACAAAATATAAAGAAAATTTCAACAGAGAGTCCAAGTGGAAACCTTAAGTGTCTCTTGAAAATAACCTTCTTGTAAAAAGGTTCTTCTTAGACCTTCTTATGAGAAGACCTCTTTAAGTAAGTATTATTATAAAATTATCTTGCAATTACTTAATATGCAAGAAATTTCAGTCCAATGCAGTTATAACCTAGAGCAGTAATTTTCAGTATTTTCAAATTGACAGTCCATTTAACCATGATATTCTGATAAAATAATTTAAATTCTAAACTGTTACTATTTTAATTGCAGATACTATATTCTCATTTTCTCATTCATATACTAAATTGACAATCTACCATGCAAACCATCTTGAAGACACATCAAATTTTTATCTGCTTAGATTTCATCATTTTCAATGCAAAAATATATTCTCTTCTCACAATCATATCTAAAAAAAAAAAAAAAAAAAAAAAAAAAAAAAAAAAACTTTAATAACTACAGTTAAATTTAAATCTTTGTGCATTCAAATACATTTTGCGGACTACATACTAATTTAGAAACACTGACTTTGGGTATTCCTAATGCGTCTATAACCATTACCAGAAATAAATTATCGGACTATTCTCAATTTGTCAAAAGAAAACAAACATAGAGAGATATATTTGCCCAATATTTTTATTTTCTATCACTAGTTCGTATATGCATACAAAACTTAGAAAGAACTAATAACTGGGACAAAAACTTTTTTTTTTAATGCATTGCATCTCCTCTTGCAGGAATGTGATTTATATGAAAGATAAACATTTAAGCATTATTTTATTCAGATGATCTCCAATACCCTTTTCATATCATTTCTATATTATAATATAAAAACCAACCATAATGCTAACATATATTTATTTTGTAAACTAACACTTCAGGACACAAGACGTTAAATGTAGCTTCAAAAAAATGATAATAATAATAAATAAATAAATAAAACAAGAAATTGTAAAATTTAAAACTGAAAATACTGTAATATTTAAAAGTTAGATAAATTTTAACATATTAAAATTTTAGCAATGAAAAAATATGCAAGATTATATAAGGTTCCTGTTTTGCAAAGCATTATACAATATCAAATTAATACATATAACCATGTAATTATCTTAAGAACCACTCTCATTGGAAAAAATTATTTTTATATACAAGAAGGCATGAAGTTTTGCGATGCAAGAAGTGCATAAAACACCTTAAACATTGCAATACAGATATAAAAGCATGCTCCATAATAGTTTCATTGTGATAAATGTCACTCTATAATAAAAAGGAAAAATAATATACAAAAAAAGGTCAAGATGTAATCAAACAATATCTTCAATTTACAAAAGAAATTTAATATAAAATGATTTCATTTCACATATTTCTCCATGAACTTTTTATGAAAGCTAGACCGCAGTGTGTCATTGATAAAAGGTTTTTCCTTGCGATCTGGTTCTTCAACTGCACAATTTTTAAACACAACATCATCATCCCATCTTCTCTTTACTTTGAATTCAGCAGGTTTGTTATTCAGTAAAGGATTCCCACTCAAAATATTCTCAGTCCTAATTTTTTCTTCTTGTGCTTTCCTCTCTGCTTCCTGAAAACATCAATATTACAAATACATTAAAAAAGATTTCTCATTTTAAACAATCATACTGAAAAAATATTAGGATTAGCATTAAGTGATCAGCAAAACTAAATGGCCCAATTCTATTACTTTCTGATTTTACAAATAAAAACATTCTTTAGAGTAAAATTATCAATATAATACAGCACAGAAAACTTAAAAATGTTTAAGAAGCTAGTGATTAAAATAATTTCAGTTAAAGCAGTATTTTTCACCAGTTTTCATTTGGAAATACTGATGCATCTAATCAGCTAAATATCCTCTAAATACTCATACAAAATACAAGCTACAAATTATTATTATTATTATTTACTCTCTAAAAATTCCTAACTAAGATAAGCCTAACATATCAGATGACTAACCTCCAAATTCATATTCACTAAAACAACCAAGAAAAATAACATATATTAAAATATAAATCATCAGTTCATTAAAACCCAAATCTAAATTTGTTTAATTTAAATATCCATGTTCTTTTATAATCAGTTAATACCTAAAGGGCAAAATACTATCAAGTGCAGTAGGCTCCCTCTTAACTGGTCTCAGTTCAATCACAGCTGAAAAGGTGATTCATTTTTTATTAAATTTTCTATTCGGTACAGTAGTGGTCATATTGCAGTGTGGCTGGCTATTATTATTGTTTTGTGCAAACAATTTATGTAGTTATTTCTAAATTACTGTAATTTAAAGTAGCAAAAAGAGTGAAAAATTAAAATCGTCAATCATTTTATATGTACTCCCCAGCCCGATTAGGTACTATGAACAAAAAACATTTTTAAAATAACTATTCATTTATATTTCTTAATTGTTAAAATATGTTAAGCATTTATAGTCATAGCATAGTCATTAATACTTTTAAATGCATTACGGAAAATGTCTTCCAGTGGTTGGGGAATTTCTTCATATATGCAAAAAATATGGTACTCTACTGTAACAGAAAAATAATACTATATGGAGCCTCAATGTGGGGCCTAAATTTAAATTCTAATGCACAAAAACAACTTCTTTCAATCCAAAGACCTTTTCTTCTTTCTATTTCGAAAGCTTACAGAACCACTCTAAATAGTCCTCTCCATATAATTACCGGAATTCCCCCAATTATAATAACCTTGAAGAAAGAAGCAATTAAAATTAAAGTGTCAAGATTACACACTCCATGTACTTTCAATAATGATCTTTATCAACCATCAGAATATGAAGAATTACTGCATGACTTCACAGGGTTCATACACATTTCTGCACATGGAAATTAAGTACTTTTAAGGACCATTAATGAAAACAATTAAGGACCTATGAGCAAATGGGAACTGAATTCAATTAAAAATATTATCTACGCCTGAATTTCACTTTTGTAACACCATCCTAAAAATAAAATAGATCCCTAAGTAGTATGCATTATTACTAAACATGAATTAATGAACATAATTATTAATAAGTTTGAGAATAAAATAAACTTTATATGCAATTTATAAAGTAGCATTAAATATTTTACACTTATAATAGTTGTTCATATTTGAAAGAAGATAAGTGACATTTACGTTTTACTAACAGTTAGCTTTATGTTGATTTTTTTTATGTCTCATTTTGTCACATACTTGGTCAGTCTAGAGGTTTAGTAGAAGGTAGATTTTATGTGAAAGGGCATAGGTTAAAATGAGAAGTAAGATCATAATCAGTATGATTGATAACAAAAGACAATGTTGTCACTGCTGCTGCTTGTTTAAAGAGAGACCTGCTGATTAGAACAAACCTGAAAGGCCTGCTGTAAGCATGGTTGGCAAGTGTTGAAAAGTTAGACATGCTCTGATTAATGCAGTTAGTGTCATAGGTCCGTATAGAATTCCAGGGATTATACCCCAGTTAATATACTTTAAGGTTCCAATAAGCCATTAAAGCACCAGAGGTGATAAGTTATTTTGTATTATTTTAAGTCTCACTAGATGCAAAGAATAAGTTTTACTCGAATTTTTACATTTTTGTATTTTATCTTGTGCTCACAGTGGGTATTAATGAAAGGCAATAACTCGCTTTAATATATAGAGATAATTTTTAAGGGTAAGCAGTTAGTTATAAATAATTAAATTAAGTAGCTTGATATCCTTAGTCATTATGGATTTACATGACCACTATTAAATTTTACATTTTAACAAAATTCGTTAAAAAAGCCCTATTAAAATCAAAATTTAATAAAATTTCATAGTTTAAAATACATGTAATTTATGGCATTGATTCTTAAACGATATCAGGATTATTACACATTAAAAGCTACAAAACATTTATGTTTTGTAACAAAAACACTCAACAAAATTTTGTTAAGAAATGTACAGGCGCGGTAAGATGGCTTCCCCACAAAGCAGTTTTAGGGTTGCCATAAAATAGCAAGGAAAGACAGTGTTGCCACATTTGGCGAAACTTGGCAATATACCATGGACGATTGGAGAATCTTCTGGAACGAATTCTTATCGGTTTAGGCCGGAATATTCTCGAACACAAGCCGATAGCTATATAAATAGCCAATAGTGTGTCTCAGTGTGTGGTGTGTCTCGTCAAGAGGATGAGTTAGTATGTGCCTCGTCAAGAGTGCGAGTTAGTTATTATCGAGTTGGTATCTCGTCTAGCGAGTCAATCCCTGCGGAGTCGAACGAGTTGACATTGACAGCCGGGCAGAGAGTGCCGAGTGGGTCGTCAAGTGCACCGAAGGAGTCTGTTAATGTATCGCAATTAGTGCATCGTCAAGAGAGCGTGTTGAGCTCCGGGAACGACTGAACTGAAGAGTCGGGAGCTGTTGTGTGTTGTCGAGTGCATTGCGAGTTATAGCGTGGAGTCTCAAGAGTATGTGGAGTTCCGAGAACGACCAAGCAGAGTCGAGAGCTGTACTCCAGAAAGCAGAGTCGGGTGCTTTGCAGGAAGCTGTCTCCACCGTGATAGCCTGATAACCTGAAGGCTGTGTCGCTGATCGTGTCAGCGTGTTTATAGTAGTTCATCGACGACTGTAAAACGTGTTTTGGGGCTGTCCTGACAATACTGGTAAATAAAGTGTGTTTCGATACTTCATCAAGTATCGTTGTTATTCATTCCAAATCTACGAACCCCATACAAGCATAAAGGAGGAAAATAACGTAACAATATTTATCCATCATTTTAATTTAAAGCCTTCCCAAACATTTTGGCTAGTTTATATCGATTTTTTTTCTCTTTAAGCATCTTTTCTAACAATTAGAGATTTGTCTTAATATGCAAACCAATGCCCTCGCCAGTTTCTGCATACTTTATCTCCTAACTTGTCAACCTCTCCATAATGTGCCTATGAGGGTTTACTTTATCTGCTAAAAGTTAAATAGTCCAAAACCCTCCGACAGACATGAAGCATATTATCGCTATGTCTGAAAGTAACTACAATATCAGACAAAGGTTTCAATAAGAGGCTTATTTAAAAAGAACTTGGAACATAAAGGCACGTTCTGGTACACGTTTCCTTTTCATTTTAGAATTTGGGGATTTAATTAAGGATTTCTGTTATTCTAAAAAACACTAAATGCATTTAGAATGTATAGAAAAAGTGGCTTTATTTCAGTAATATGAACATTTAGAAGAAATATGAAATATATATGGTAAAGGCCGATTACAGAGCTGATGTGGCAGAATTTTTAGAATTTAGTGACACACCAAACAACAAAATCTAGAAATGGCAGAAATTTTAGAATTTAGAGGAGGCATTGGAAGCAGAATTTAGAAAGGCACTAGGCAGCAGAATTTAGGATCCACAGAGATTGCATCAGGTTGGAAAATGCCTAGTGCCAGCTATATGTATGATGCATTAAGACATATTAGATAAATCTTTTAAATTGTAATTTTCAATAAAAATAAAAAAAATAAATAATTTAATAAAAAAAATTCATCTTTATAATGCCTGCCCATTGATAAGATTAGAAGCATTTTTGATATTTTCCATGCTTGAGTCTAGTGAAAAGTAGAGAAAATAAAGGGAAGATAAACATATTAAAAGATTCTAATATCAGAAGTAAAAACATTCAAATATTATGTTTTCATTGTTCTTCCAGACGTTCTCCAAAAAGTAAGAAATTCACTGCAAACTTTCTGTTAAATACATCCATTACGTGTTGATACCATGGAGACATTTCAAATTTTGTCACATATTTCTCGAATCTTCTAGAATCGTGGGTCTATAAATCTTGCCTTCTTCTAAACCTTCCTTCCAAGCTGCAATGTCTAAAATCCTAAAGAAAAATTACTCCTACGAATTCTATTACAGCAAAAAGCCAGAAATATTTTGAGAAAAAAAAATGAGTGGGGAAAAATGTAAAATTAATTTCAGAGACAAAACTGATACATATCCTGAGACAATAACATGGGAAAACTCTTACCATAAAAATATTAAAAATAAAATATTTTTAATTAATTACATAGCTATTTTACTTTTGCTAAGAAATGTTTCGTAAATTGTGTTTTATAACATTAAATTTTGTTTATTTTTTCAGATTCAAGATATTGTATAAGTGGCCAAAATGGAATTTTTAATATGGCAGCAAAAAATAAAAATGCTTTACTATAATGTTATTTCTTAAAAATAATTACAATATATTACATATATTTATCAATGTTATAATGCTCTAAAAAATCATTTTTTACTTTACTTTTTTACTTTTAAGGACCAAAAAATTCTCAGACCTCGGAATTAAAAATTTTCTATAGAAACTGATCTCAAAATTGCCAAAATGTTGATAAGTCGCCAAATTTAGAGCCGTTTAATAAAAGAATTCACATTCCCAAAACCGAAAAGCTGTTTAAAAGCTCTTTATTGGAAAAGACGAATTTTGAAATGCTTATGTTTCACTTCTTGCTTAGAAACTCGAGTATCCCATCATTTATATTAGAAATAGAAACAAATTATAACCCATGAACCCATTCAAAAAATAATCATATATGTCAGTGAATTGCCAAAAATATTC